CACCTGGGCACACTGAAACTGACTTTGATCAGTGATGCTCATCTATCTATTTTGTCCCAATAAAGAAATATAGCTAGATGAGCATCACTGCTATTAAGCCTGATGTATTGCCTCCCAATATTGCAAAATAGCTACATGAGCATCACTGATGCAAAGTCTGATTTTATAGCCTCCCAATATTGCAATATAGCCAGATGAGCATCACTGCCATTAAGCCCGATTTTATAGCCTCCCAATATTGCAATATAGCTAGATGAGCATCACTGATGCAAGTGAGCAAATTTTTTCATTCGATTTGGCCGCTTTCCAAACTGGGGTAACAGGCGAACAGAAACCAGCAGCAAGCAACTGAAAACTGGTATAAACTGTTATAAAAACTTTTGGGCAAAAATAATAATTGGTATAAACTGTTATATTCCATTTTATGCATTTATACCTATTTGTTGCCGACAACAACAGCTTGATGGCAACAACAACCTTTTTACAACAACATCCCTTCAGCAGCCAATCCAAATTTCCGAACATTTCCATGCAAATTGCCCGTTTCCCAAATTGGGGTAACAGGCGAACAGAAATCAGCAGCAAGCAACTGAAAACTGGTATAAACTGTTATAAAAAGTCCAAGTTTCAAACCATTGATCTTGGAGTAAGCGAAGACTCAAACCAGATGTGACCATATTGTAAATTTTTTGGCTAAAATGTTGCTTAAAAGCACCTGGGCACACTGAAACTGACTTTGCATCAGTGATGCTCATCTATCTATTTTGTCCCAATAAAGAAATATAGCTAGATGAGCATCACTGCTATTAAGCCTGATATATTGCCTCCCAATATTGCAAAATAGCTACATGAGCATCACTGATGCAAAGTCTGATTTTATAGCCTCCCAATATTGCAATATAGCCAGATGAGCATCACTGCCATTAAGCCCGATTTTATAGCCTCCCAATATTGCAATATAGCTAGATGAGCATCACTGATGGAATTCAAATTTGGCAGTTAAATTCAAATTCAAATTTGGCAGTTAAAATATTTAAAAAAATGTAAAAAATTCTACATTTGAATTTGAATTTAACGACGATCAGTTTCAGATGAGCCTGTTTAAATTATCCCACCCAAAAAAAAAAAAACCGCATCCTCCTCATAAGTCAAAAATAACAAATTTTTAACGGTTTTTTATTTATTTCAGCTTTAAATAAATAAAAGAAGAAAAGATGAGGCATGTGGGAATGTCGGAGGTCGCTCCCAGTGGTTTCAGCTCGGTCTTGGTGGCACCCTCGTCGTGCTGCCCCAGCACCTGGTCCGCTTCGGCTCCTCCTCGTCCTGATCCTCCTTGCCAACGCTCTCTGTCTCGCCTTCGGCACCCGCTTTCAGTTCCTGGCAGCTTGCTGCAATTAAATTTAAAAAAAGGGTGCGATTTATTTTGATAATTTTTCAGAAACAAAACTAATTTCAGGTTCATAACTCAGCCAAAAGTGCATGAAATTCAATTCGGAAAGCTGTTCAGAATTGCCCTTTCTAAGCCTAACAAAACTGCATACTACGTTTAGGGTTCTTTTCAATTTCATTTTTTCTCAATTTTTTAGAATTTTAATGATGGTACCCCTTACATATTTTTGAAAAATTGGATCGATTTATTTTGACATTTTGACTAATTTTCAAATGTTCATACCTCATCCAAAAACGCATGAAATTCAATTCGGAAAGCTGTTCTGAGTTCGTTGTTTTACGCTTAACAAAGCTGCTTACTCAGTTTTACTGAAATACTTACCTGTAATTTTTAAAGAATTTTTAAAACAATATGAAGCAAATAACTAAATATCAGAGGTTCATAACTCAGCCAGAACAAAACCTCATTTTCAAATGTTCATAATTCTTCCAAAACTGCATGAAATTCAATTTGGAAAGCTGTTTTGAGTTGCTTTTATTACGCTTAACAAAACTGCATACTACGTTTTCAATGTCATTTTTTCTCAATTTTTGAGAATTTTAATGATGGTACCCCTTACATATTTTTGCAAAAATGATGCCATTTATTTTGGGAAAAAAAAACTCATTTTCAAATGTTCATAACTCGGCCAAAAATGCATGAAATTCAATTCGGAAAGCTGTTCAGAGTTCGTTTTTCTAAGCTTAACAAAGCTGCTTACTCAGTTTTACTGAAACACTTACCTGTAATTTTTAAAGAATTTTTTAAACAAAAATGAGCAAAAAACGAATTTTCAAAGGTTCATAATTCAGCCAAAAATGCATAATATTCAATTCGGAAAGCTTTTCTGACTTAGCTTTTCTAAGCTTAACAAACCTGTTTAGGTGGGGTATTCTCCGTATTCGAAAATACCAATAAATTAACTTTTATTTAATATTTAAAAAAAGGAAAAAAATCACAACAGATGCTTATACAATTATTCTTAAATGTCTTAAACCTAAAAAATTAACTGAAAATGTGGCCAACAATGGAAAACATGGTGGAAATTTAGCGGCAATAGGTTTCTTGTAAATTCTTGTAATAGAAATTGAAGTTACAAAATAAATAACGTTTATACAGGCCTGCTCCGGTAATCGAAAACGGCAAGAATTTTTCGTTTTCGTTTTTGAAAACGAGAAATTGGTGCTCCGGTAATCGAAATCGAAAGATTTTTTCGATTTGAAAAACGGGCACCTTTTTCTGGCCAGAATGAAAAGTAAATGGCTTTTTTAAAATGAAATCAGATCTAATTTACAAAAGGAAAAAAATAGTTTATTCAGTGGTCTATTGATGTTTATTCCACAACACCATAAGATCATTCTGGCAGGTAGTTATTTTATAAAAAATTTATTTCTGACCCCACCTCAGATTTGACAACAAAATTTTTGCCGTGTTCAACCAGTTTTCTCGGTTTGGCGATAGGTCGATAAGTTTACCGCAAAAAGTTATTATGTTGGTGGAACGAAACATCCAGTTAAAAATACTTATAAAATATAAATGAATACATTAATAACTTTAAAGGACCGCCAAAATGGTTGTTTATAAATAATGCTATTTAATTGTACTACTTAAATAGTCCAAATTAACCAAATAATTATTTGAGACCACCGGAATTAAAACTGTGAAAAGTGTGGCAGCATCTTAGGTGCCTGGATTTGCTTAATTCTACCATTTTTTGCCTTTTTCTGGCTTAGAAAAAGGGCAATTGTAAATATAATAGGCAGTACTTTACGTTGTTTGCTTATTACCAACAACACAAGCTAGCTGCTTGAGCAGTGAAAAACGATGAGAAAACGAAACACTCCGATAACAGATCTTTGCCGAAAACCGGAGCAGCTAAAAACGAAAACGGTTCGTTTTCGCCCAAAACGAAATCGAAAAAATTTTACGATTACCGGAGCAGGCCTGATAAATCATATTTTTCTGAGTCACTCCTAAAAGTAGACTATTTTTGCGATGTTACGATAAAGATTTATATTTTTCCAAGATATTCCACTAGATGGCGCTCTGACTGAGGTCTGCTCTATTGAGGAGATCTGGTACTTTTGGTCGCTGGGACAGAAAGGTCTGGCAACGCTACAGTGCTGCCAGACTGTCAGTGAACGAGCGACCAAAAGTACCAGATCTCCTCAATTCAGTTATATGGCAATGTTCGATCCAACCGACAAAGGATGTTCGACGAACGTGTTTTAGAACGTTCGACCCAACCGAGATCAAAACCGGTTTCGGTTGCAACCCCCAAAGTCTGTGGCACAAAACCACCCACAAACAGACTCAAGAACTCATGGGACATGTTGCCTCGAACTTCACATTTGCCAGCCAGCGGCTTTCTAGATTGATTTCATAAGATGGGTAACGTAACCCTTAATTGGTTTCCCCTTAAACGATAATTCTGGCCCAACATTATCCAACTAGTCAATTAAGACTTATTCCTCTGTTCCCCTGTTTTACGATTTAAGAGGATATAAAGCGAATAGAAACTTGCACAGAATATCTCCGCATTAACCAATAAATTCAAATCTAAATGAATACAAATTCAGGTATACGAACTTTGGCTTCCCGAACCCATTATCTAAAGTTTAAGACTCTTGCTAAGAGATAAAGATACACACAATGAATTATTGTCAGATTAAGTTTGTATTTATAAATATATTTTATTTTTTTTTAATTTGTTCTTATTCCGCTAGAAGGCAAGGGTATTCGAAATTCGGCCGCTTGTGTTCTCGTAACAGTTCATTTCCGAGTTCGGTTGCGTTGCGTTGCGGTTCGAATCGTTCGAATGGCTGTCGGGCCGCATGAGAGAATAGATATAAGGTAGTCTCGTCGACTGCCCAAGCGTTCGAGTTGTAGTCCCTTATAGTCCAATATCTTAAGAATATTTTGTTAAAGTTTCACATCGATCATAGCAAAATTGACAAAGTTATGGGTAGTTAAACGGAGATCGTTTAGTGTATCAAAAAGGTTAAAGAGCTATCCTAAAAAGTGTCATTTTAAAGTCGGAGTATCTTGTAGATAACTCAAGATCTACGGGATCAATTGATTTGAATTTTGGTACATATCTTCTTTAACAAGGGCTACAGGTACTCATGTCTGTCTTTTTATAAATTTTATGTTAATATATATTTTATTTAACTAACTTAATTTTTTAGTCAAAATTCAGGGTTTTGACTTCAAATTTTGATAAAAAATTAGGAAATCTAATTAAATATAAAAACGCCACGTGAGTACCTCGGGACACTTATCCTTTAATGAATGCATTACATTACATACACAAAATTTACGATTCGTTCTTGAAAACTACTTTTTAAATAAGGTAAATCGATTTCGATTATGTCATTATTTTGGGTGGGAAAATACTCAATTTGAGAACATTCCTAAAGGTTTTTTTTCATTGTTTTCAGTGTAGCACTGTTTAGGGGACTCGTTTTGCCGATGAGACTGCCTTGTGGCATGGGCACCATGGCCTGGCTAAGCGGCTGAGCGTTCCGCTCCGGTCTGAGCGGGAGCGTTTTGTCAAAACTGAACTCTCGTGGCGAGCGGACGTGTTTTTGTTTTGTTTGTTTTTTTCATCAGTGCCCCGCGCGAGTGCCGCAATTACTCGAACGTACCCGTACCCGTACTCACTTACTCATTTACGCTTACGTTAACGTCTGCTCGGTGACTTTGCGCGTCGTGTGGAAACGCTGTGACTGTGTTGTTTTGGTAATTGCCCCACTCCTACCCTACCAACCCCCTGATCTGTGTGTTATAATAATTTTTTTTCTAACTACATCTCTCTGTGTGTGTGTGTGTGTGTCGGCTTTTTGTACTCAGATTTTAGTGGAAATATACGAGGAACACACGGCGAAATTAATAACAGACAGCGACAACAACAACCACCGATTGTTTGCAGTGCCCCCGGCTATTGTTGTTGTTGTGCGAGCGTAGTATCTGTGAGTTTTTGCGCCCACATAGTATGGGTTTTCCAATCGGGATGGGTATTTCGGTTGGGATATATGTTCTTATTGGCATTTTGTCAGTTGGGCTGCCTCAACCGCAGCCGCTGCGTTACGTTGCGGTGAATGAACCCAACGGAAAGCGCAGCGCAAGACCACGAAAAAAAATGGTGGCAGAAAGACAACAAGAGCGCACACAATAACCGCTTATATTTTTGAAATATTAAAGCCAACTGTGCGCAACGGCCACAAGCAGTAACAGTAACAGAGCAACAACAACAACAATAGCAGCAACAATAGCAACAATAACCATAACAATGACGAAAGTAAAGCAAAGAAGCAAAGAAAGCCAGGTCCAACTGGAAAGGCAAATCGAAGCAGAGGCTGCAGTTTTAATGTGTTTCCCAGTTGGCTTTTGTGTTGTTCCCCCCTTTTTCGCTCTCGCCAGCTCTCTCTCTCTGTCTCTCTTCTTCCGCTCTCTGAGTGCATCGTCACTGTGTGTGTGTGCTTTGGGTGGTGGGAGGGAATTCAAATTAGAACCGGAGCTTGTGTGAGTGTGTGCTTAGATAAAGCCTGCTGCTATCTTATCGGAGGTCCTAATCTTTTTCGCAAACTGGAGAACGAAATGGTTCCAGCTGGCGTTGACTTGGCCAAAAAAGAATCGATCGCACACGGGGCTTAACCTTAACTTTTCCCACAACCAAAAAAAAAAGTAAATAAATACATAAACGATGACAGGGATCTACACAGGAAGAAAAGGCTCAGAAGCCCTACTAATTATGGAACTGTAGACCATTACGTAACTTTCTATCGTAAGCCATATACAGTGGGTACTCGTAATAAACGGAATAGGGTATTTCTTTCTAGATTCTGAAAAGAATCTGAACTGTAAAGCTATAACTATAGGTATAGGATTCAAGATTGTAGACTTTCTTTTTATAATAGAACCGTGTAGAACCGTTTCTTAGTTTCTTTCCAAAATATACCTCTAAAAACTAGGCTAGGTCGTCATAAATGTTTTATCTCGAGAAGGATCCTAGAAATCTGAAAGTTCCAACAATGCTTCCCTAACTTTATACCTAAAACTGAGTCCTATATATTCTAGAATTAATTCAAATATCGATTTATCTCACAAAACAATTGCAGCAGGTTGTTCATTTCAGTGAACTTTGCTTTAAGATATTTACAAAAATTTTCAAATAAATCATTTGTTTCCATTTTACATTCAAACACGTTACGCCTTGCCTTAATATTTTATTTTTATTTTCGCCTGGCTTTTTCCAATGAAGCAGTGTCATAACCGGTTTAAGGATTCTCCGTTCGCACACATTTAACCTATGCCAAAGGTGTGCCGAAAAAATAAAGAAGGAAAGAAGTTCGTGTTCTCAAGCGACTTGTGTATGCTTTTCACCTGGACAAAAGCTAAGAGCAAACACTGGGTTGTATGCCTTTTGAGTCATCAGCAAATGGGTGCAAACTGTTGGAGTCCCAAAGAAATTATTTAATTTTCAAGGGGAAAAGCCAAACAAAACAGAATTATTAATTATTTAACTAATTTGATCTATTTTATTCAGCAAATTATTCAAAGTTTTACTAAATTCCAAGTTTGATTAAAATAGATTATTAGCATGTTCTGCCTTAGAGTGTTCATAGTATATTAGTTTGTTTGTTTTTTTAAAATAGTAAAATATAGCAAGCACAGCTGTACATACAAACCAAAAAGAGTGATCGCTCGTGATCGTTATCGCACTGTCAAGGTGAATCTGCCGAGTAATAAGTCCGAGTGCTGGCCTTTTTTTTCGTGTAATGCGATATTACACATAACACTTAACGACTTTTCGTGATTTTATGAATTGCGGCAACCGAAAGCCCATCACCTCAAATCACTCATGAGTACTGAGGGTTTCCGAAATCACATTTCTGCTGAATATTGCAGCCAACAGTTAAGGGCAAGAAAATAAAGTCCAGGGACATTGCAAGAAAAAAAAGGGTGCAAATAAAATGCAAATATTTAGGTACCTTTTCTAAATAAAATATAAATATTTAGTTACCTTTCTAATTTCATTTAAGTAAAGTTAAGTAAATATTGGGTCATCATGTTAGGCTAGGCAAAATTTTAATTAAATTAAATATTTTCAATTTACAATATGCAATTAAAAAACCTGCGCATGTAGCCTGTACCTGTACCTGTAAATGTACCTGTTTTTTTTAATACAAACTCAAATCGATCCCACATCTTGACCGCCACTGTATGCCGCCATCAGTTTTTCCATTTATTTCATTTTCTTGACTTAAAATTTGACTAAAACCTAACTGCCGGGAAAAGTCGCACACACAGCGTTTTATGATATATATACATTGTTTTTGTTTTTGCTTTTTGTGTGGGCTTCTTTGTACCTTGGGCTCCGCTGTCGGCTTTTGATTACCCCCTATATTTCTCGTACTCCTTGGGTCTTTCGCAACTTTCCGCTGAAGTAACCCCCACCGGTAGACGTCTCGAAGAGAGACCCCGATATCTGCGGTCGGGCTGCGTCGCATGGAAATTCAGAAAGCTCGAGTCAAATGCCACCGCAATTGGCAGTCGGCAGTCGCCGATCAGATCAGATGTCACGGAATTGTCTGTGCAAGCATCTGTGTAATAATTGCCACCGATTTTCCCGGCTACCCAAACCCCAATCCCAACCCAACGAACCCGAGTCCAAACCACGGTTGACAGAAGGCGGAATGAGTTACTGGGTTAGTAGTTCACCTGTTGAACAGCCTCGGGAAATTTGATACAAACCCGTGCACACATACGGGACATGCTTATCAGCGTTTTCCACTATATGTCTGTCTATATAACATATAATACCTAGTTGCGCCAATATTCTGAACAAAAAAACTGGGTTGTTAGAGGTCTAATGGGTTACTTTAGGTTTTGCAATAATTTGCAAACATTTTATTAGGAATATATGGTAAATATATGGGAAAGTAATGAGTTAATTACAGTTTTATGTCTATTTAAGGTTTTTTTTCTGTTTTTTAAAAGAAACCTAAGGAAAAAATAAATATAACTTCCCAAGTTCCTAGAGTTATAAATAAAGTTTCCTTGAAAATCAAGGTCCGAGTGGAACTTTCCCACTTGGAAAATTTATCTTTCTCTTGCAAGTTTAATATTATAACAATTTTAAAGGGTTTTACCTAATCTATAACTATTATCTTGACCTCTGCTGTTACTATGAGTGCTTTTGCAACGTTGTAACCGATTGTGTGTGTCTGTTTGTTTACACTTCTGGTGCTTCCAGCGATTCCACAATCTCCGCCAACCGCGCAGATATATCCATTAGGACGTACCTTAATGTACCCAACAGACAAAAAGTTTGTTGATGATATTGAAAACGCTAGTTTTGCGGATTTCAAGCGTAAAAAACGTTTGATTCAGATACGTAAACGTATGGGTTTTGTGGCAGCATATACTATCATTTTCGAAACCCGAATAAGATTTCAATTGCGGACCTTTTACGATATCATTAGCGGGCATAAACCTGAGATACTCGATACTCGTTTGCTATTCTTCCGTTTGCGAGTCCGTTTTTAATATCTTTAGCGGACATTTTTCGTATCTATCTGCACTACGTCCGCTTCTTTATCTGCTGGGATACCTCTAACGTACCTTTAACGCACCTCTGTGTCTGTTTTTATTTTCTCCGCTGCTTCCTGCCCTGTTCCCCCCCTGACTTTTGCTGTGGCGGCGGCATAATGAACGCTTTTTCTAACGCCACAACTCCGCAACTCTACAACTTCGCAGCTCTGCGGCGGTACAGTGGTACCGCGATGACGTGTACCATCGGATCAACGGATCGACGCTATGCGCGGGCAGCTGGCCAGATTTATGGTACACTGGGTCCCCAACAGCGATAACACCACACAATTTTGAAGGCCAGACGTACATACATAACTTGGTTTCCGATACCCATTCGGTTTCGGTTGTATTTTTTTTTGTTTATTATATTTGTTAGTATTGTTATTGTTTTTGCTATACCTACAATCGCAGACAAGCTGGCCAAGTTTGGTTAGTATCAACAAGTGAATGATTTATTTATTTTTGTATTTTAATTTCCTAGATAGAGAAAGTATCTACAACTTTACTATACATTTATATGATCATTTCCAGACAATGTTCTATAGGCAATAGCCACCGTAAGAGCATCGATTGGAATTTATGGGTCAATGGGGGCAAGCCAATGGTGCGACGTCATCTCTCGGCAATTAATTTGTGTTCGTGGAAAGCGGTAAGACCCAAAGTCAAGCGCCCAAAGACTAGCCAGAGGTCACTGCGGTCTGGATTCAACTATCCCCTAGCCACAAGCCCTACAATCCAACAATTCATAGGCATAATTCGACACTCACATACCGATTTTCCTCTCAGATGCGATGTATTATCCAAACCATTAAAGATTCATTAGATGGCAAAGATTTTGCCGAGAACACATGCATATCATTATACTGGCCCAAGTATAAATAAGTATATCTGGTATTTCTTGGCCACACAATCGTAAATAACAACGGGCACTTGAGGCTCCTCCTCCGGTTCCTCCTGCTTCTCCAGCTCCTCTAGCTTGTGTGCCAGAAACTCCTCATCTCGAGATTAAAAACAACGGCAAACAGACGATCAGCGGCAAGAAAAGCAACCACAATCGATACACACACTGGGGAAATGGGAAACTAGAGCGATATTGCAGGGCCAGACACTACAAGAAATAATTAAGGGAAATTAAGAGAAATTAAAGAAAATTTCTACGATATATTTGCACTTTTGTATACCCATCTATGGGGCTTATATTAACCATAATATAAGCCTCCTCCTCTCATGGCTTACCTTACAATTCAGAGCCAAGTGAACTCTTTCTTGCTGTGTATCAAACGGCCAAGAGTCTTGAGTCTGAAATCCGAATCCGAGTACAGCTCTCCACATGGCCACAAGTTATGTACACACACCCCAAGACACAGGAGGGCCACAGAGGGGGTGAAGACGGAGCGATCTGGATCTCTGGATGGTTTCCGTGAGTGCTGCGCAATTAATTATGCGACCTACGAAATGCGTACGAAATGCGTACTAAGCCCGAGTGCGTAGAACTCGGAGTCGAAGTCCGAGCTGACCATTTGGAGAGTGTATCATCACGAAACCCTAAAATGAAAAAAATTTACGACAGTCCACAGATCGCATCGAGCATCCGGTCGTGGCCAAGTACTCACTCTTGGCGGCACTCGAACTTCAAGTTCGCGGAGCTCCACAAAAAAAAAAAAAAATGGAAAAAAAAAAACCTGAGAACGCTCCAAACTCTGGCCCCAACTCGTTTGCTGCCGGCCCAGAGCCGGTGTTAGCCAGCGTTTTGCCTCTTTTACCTTCTTTTTTTTATTGTTAGCTCGTTTTTAAGCTCGCACTTAAAGGTAAATATAAAAAAAACTAGAATGGTTTCTTCCATGGAGTAGCCACGACTATGGGTTATCCAGTATTCCAGTCAAGGAATTCATTTTTCAACATTTTAAAGTGTTTAAAATATTTGATTAACAATGAAATTTATATATATATATTTATATAAAACTTACAATTATACTGAAGGTTATGAAAACAATCATTAATTTTCAAGTGCAGTTTTATGGCTGCCTTAGCTTTATCCAAAAACGTTTTTATTCGCGGAAAATTGATGAAAATGGCATGCAATTTATAAACCAAATTAATATTTAATAGCTAATAAAAACAGCATAAAATCTGCAAAGGCTAATAGCTGTAATTTGAGGTATGGCTGCCTATTAATCGGATGAGGTATGGTTACTTAATTGAAGTGTAATTAAAGCTTGGTTTGTTGCCTAAACTATGTATAAAATATAAATAATACATGAGTCTTCTGTTCCTTATAGAATGTAAACCAAGCATTTGATTATGTAACGAACTGAAAAGACCTCTTGTTTTTAGAAAAACATTTCTGACCCATATATTATATTGGTATACAGATGAAAAAAATCGGGTTTTTGTATTTATTTTAAAGACATTTTGAAGGATTATAAGATACCTTTCACACACACTTAAAAATCTTAGCTGTGCCTTAAAGATTTACCCTAAAGATCAGTGCATACTTTTTGGCGCATTTTTGAGTCGTTGGAAATCATCCTGTACCGATTTCTGTAATGGAGATATTTCCTAGTTACACTGGATAAGTTAATCACTTAGTGGATGGAATTAAAATTTATATTTCAACCATTTTCGAATAATGAGAAACTCTATTTTGCAACTTATAGATAATATTGCATACTTTTTGACACCTTCTGAATTGGTTTCAAAACCAATTTGTACGGATTTCTAATACATAATTATTTTCTAATTTAATAAATCAATTTGTGAGGGGAACTAAAATTGATTTCAGAAATTCTCGAATGCTATGAACATTCCCTTTGAAACCTTTAAACATTTTATTGCATATTTTTTGACAACCTTCTCAAGCGATTTTAAAACGTCTTCAACCGATTTAACTTCCTACTACACACAGAATTCTCCTAAAAATTACCAAAACCCTCCCATTAATTTACTAATTCCGAAACATTCGATTGTTCTTACCCAATAAAATCATTTTAACGAAGCACGTTCCTGGGGAAATATCCCAAAAAACGATCGTGATAAATGATAAATAAGAGTGTAACAAAAAAACAAAGCCAAGTCCAGTTCCGACCAGTGCTAAAGTACTTTACCTTTTGGTAAACATTTGCTTGTTATTTTGGTTTTTTTTTTGTTTTTCGCCCGCCTGAAGTTCCCGGAGTCGGAGTCGCAGATATATCTGCCCTGCATGTGTATAGCATATATATATATATGTGGGGAAATATACGGCCATACGATCGTACTTACGGGCGTGCGTGTGTCTGCGCTGCCTTTATTGAGGTCGATTGTTCATTTATCGTCAATGTCAGTCATCAGTTGGCCTGCGTGCTGCGTGTTTTGTTGTTTTTACACATTCCCTCGCGTTTTGTTTACGTTTACGGCGTTCATTACACGAGGCAGCCAGGCCAACAGCCCATCGGTTCATGGAGTTTCCCCCAGTTTCCCAAGTTTTCCGGAGTTTACTATTTCGGCATTTTGCAATTACTTTGGTTTTGGACAGCCAGGCGACAGCAGGCGCCGCCTGGAGTGCTCTCGAGGACAATGTCCTCGGCAGGACATCTGCATGATGCGGACATAAATCCCGACTGTCTGACGGCTCTGCAGGATTGGCACATTGTCTGGTCCTGAGCCAAAATCTTGATATAATGCCTGGCAAGACTTTGATAATGGACCAAGACTGATGAAGGGAAAGGGTGAATAATCTTAGCACAAATGAAAAATGTTTAGTTTTCGAATATTAGGCAATTAAAGCAACATATTTTATCGATTTATTTGACACTTATTAGTTATTAAATAAATTGTAATTAGCAATTCAAAGGAAAACTTCGTTTATACAACCCCAGAAAATCTCTAATCAAGGTTCTTGTTTTTGTTTCCTTAAATCTGTGATTTGTCCTAGAACAAATTGTGGATATTTGTGAGCCGATTTCGATTCCAAAATATTGGAAAAACTCGAATGCTGAAATTTTCCATAACTGTCGCCCGTTTTCCTTACGAGGGAGGGTTGATCTCCTGCCAGGGTGGTGGTTGCTTGGAGTAGTCCAAGTCTAAGGGTGGCACTGACCCCCGGCGCGTGCCCCAGACGCAAAAAGGGGGAAAAGAAAAAAACAAAAACAGAAGAAGGGTGTATTTTATGGGATTTTAGACCATTTCCATGGATTCATTACGATTCCGACTCGGTTCTGCTACACCTGCTCGCCATTAAGGCATACGGAGTAGATTTTCCCCGAAGACCCTCCCCTCGGAGTAACATTATCTCTTTGGAAAATTAACTTTCGACCCACAAATTTGACACTACCGTGCAATTTGCAGCCAAATGACGATTTCACGAGGCGCACTCTAAACTGCGCCACATCAAGGTGCGCTAGATCTAAAAACAAAATCGAAAAACGGCCCCAGTTTTTGTATTCTTTTTTTTTATACAAATATATGCAAATTGGATATTTGCACTTGGAAATGCGGCAAACCGGCTTACAGGCGGCGGCTTTCCACCGGCCCCCAAGGGGGTCTGCTCTCTGACCCACATTCCGGAATGTCAACTACAATGGCCTCGGAAACTTATTAAAAATTGTTCACTTAATCTCAAGACAGACGAGCGCCGAGAAACGAGCAATTTCCCTATAAGGTGATGGGGAATCGGAGAGATCAAAGTCTAAGATTATATTTTTGCACTCAATAAATCTTTATGATAAATAGAAAAAACTTGGGTTTTTCTTTTAAGGCATTCTTTTTTTTTTAATAAAATAAAATACGTTTTAAAAACTCCTAAAACAAGCGTCTAAAAGTATGCTATGATTTGCAAGCTACCGAAAAGTCTTCGAGATTTTTATACAAATATATATTCCTACCTTCTATTTGTAACAAAACATTTAAAACTGTGTTTTTGTATCTTTTCTTTGATTTTAAAATTAAAAATAATTTAACCAGGATTTTTAGAATCCTTTAAAAAGGCAACTAAAAGTGTGCATTGATTTGCTAGCTACCGATAAGCCTCTAAGATTTGCACAAATATTTCAATTTCTCGCTCATTTTTGACTCTGATTTTCCTATTTTTAATACTCTACTTTTTATAACTAATAAATAAACAATCAACAATTAATATAACATTTTTTTTAAATCACCACAGATTTCCTCAACGGACCACCGGGCAGCATTATCAATGGTGGGCGGTAATCCGAGGACCAACTCCAACTTTCTTCCACTCCAAGCCCCCTCGATCCACCACCCCTCTACACTCCCCCCCAGCCGCTGCTCCGAACCATGTCTGAGACGATTCCAGCAGGAGACACAATCTGTCCAGTAAGTGAAGCCAAGCGCCAGGAAGCCGAGAGCTACATCGACGCGCCGCTCAAGATTATCGAGCCCTTCGAGAGACTCGAGGAGGACAACGACCAGAACCAGGAGCAGGACCAGGACCAGGACCAGGACAAAGACAAGGAAGTGGCCGAGAAGAACAGCCCAGAGGAGGAGCAGGAAAAGCCAGTTGAGGAGCATCACTCCACAGAGATCAAGGCCAAGAAGTCCGTCAGCTTCAATCCCAACGACGAGAAGATCCGTAAATTCACATCCGGCGAGCCCATTGTCGACCAAAAGAACCCCTTTCGTAATGGTCACGTGGCCAACGGCCGGGAGAAGAAGACACCGCCACCAGTGCCCGCCAAGCGTTCCACATTGAGTGTCCGCAAGACGGTGACCCAGCAGCTGAGAGAGCGGGAACGGGAGCGCGAGAAGGAGCGAGAGCAGCAGAAGAACGAGGCCAACGCACGACGGAGCAAGGCCTCCTCTGCCGCTAAGAACTCAGCCCCAACAACGCCTGGCGAGGAGTATGTAACCACCGAGGAGGTGCTAAAGCAATCCAAGTATGTCAAGACGTACATTAAGAATCCAGACGCCTATTTCGTCTACGATCCCACGGTGCTGGCGCGGATCAAATTCGAGGAGCTGCAGGAGATAGCCGGCAAGCTGCCCAAGCGCAAGCAGGCGGCCAAGGATCCGCGCGCCGGAACCAAGCAGCCACGCGTCCACAATCCAAATCAGAATCCCTCATCAAAGCTCGCCTTCAAGAAGTGCTCCAAGCCCAACTACCCGGAGTTGGCCAACCTGAAGATACGCACCGGCATCTCCGAGCCGGACACCGAGGGCGGTCTCTTCCTCAATCCAGACGAGGTGACCAAGAACGCGCGTAAGTTCGACGAGCGCGTGAAGAAGCTGCAGATTAGCTCGGACGATGACCTGGACGAGATCGACGGGCCGCTGACCAAGAGCGAGTCCAGTGACGAGCTGGCCCACAGTCCGGTGAAGCCAATGAAGCCGGCAATGAGTGGAGGACCTCCAACCATTGGCGAGGGGGGATCGCCGTCGTCGCCATCGTCGCCCCTGGTGGGCACCTTTACCAACACCATAAGCTCTGACGAATTTCAGGCCTATTTGGATCGCAAGGGACTGGCGTTGATGCCCCGCCGGGATCTGTCCACGCCCAGGGGTACGCCCACAACGGCCACACCCACATCCACGTCCACCACATCGCCGCCACTGAGAACGGCGGAGGAGCGACGACAACAGGTGGCCGAGTCCCTGGCGGCTTTACGCAAGAGTAACACCAAAAAGTTATCGGTTTTGCAGCGGCTCTCCCAGAGCCTATTTCCGGCGAGGCGAAAGACCATGCCCAAGCCGGCATCCACCATGCCGCGAACCTTGTACGGTGACCCGTCGCCAAAGGAGGAGATACGCCGAAAGACGGACACGACGACAACGACGCCAGCCGAGATGCGTAGAGTGCTCCTGGAGAGTCGTCAGAGTCAGAGTCAGGGTCGCCCTGCGCCGGTGCCAACGCCGCGGAGGATCGGGGACTTGCAGAATAGGAATCCCACAACCACGCTCCAGAGATCGGCTCCGGAACGCCAGAGCCTTATCCCGCGACGCATTTCGCCGGAGGCCCCGCCTGCCAGCCGCTTTGGCCGCTCCAGCTCCATGGATCGCAGTCAGATCCGGCTGCTTGGACAGCGACGTTCGCTAGCCGCAGAGCAGCAGCAGCAGCAGCAACAGTTGCAGCAGCAGTTACAGCAACAGTTGCAGCAGCAGTTACAGCAACAGCAGCAGCAACAGCAGCAAAAGCAACTGCTCCTGGCAACGCCTGTGGCCACCTCGACACCTGTGCGCGGCCAGAACGAATGGGAGCAGCTGAGGGCCATCAAGGAAGTGACGGACCGCCAGCTCTACCACAAGGTGCTTCAGCAGCAGCAGCAGCCACAGTCGCATCCGGTCCAAAAGCTGCAGCGGCCCAGAGAGGAGATTTACGAGCACCTTCAACCAGTACAGCAGCAGCAGCAGCAACAGTTCCTGCGCGGCTCCCAGCAGCGCAACACCTTCTCCGGCATCAGTGGACGCCACCGCCATGTGATGATCTTGGACGGCACGCCCATTGTCCCAATGCAGCAGGTTCAGCAGCAGCAGATCCAAGTCCAGCCGCTGCGCTGCCAGAGCGTGCTGGACAACATGGTGGCCAGTAGTCCCGGCCAGAGCCAGAGCCATGCTTTGCGACGTGGCTACGAGAGCGAAAGCGAAGTGACGCCGGTGGTGCTACGTCGCAGGGATCAGGGACAGGGACAGGGACAGGTTCAGACACCGTCCCGCCGCATCGGAGGACTGCTGACCCGGGAGGAGATCCTCGACAAGGTCAAGGAGTTCTGCCGCAAGAGCATCAGTCGGACGCCACTGCCGGCGGCCAAGTTGCAGATGCAGCCCATCTACGAGCGCCACATGACGCCACCGAATGCGGATGTCTCGCCGGTTTCCTACGCCTCCGTCGACGATCAGGGGTAATAGAAGCTCCAAAAGAAGGCTTCATGGCAGACTTTTGGACGGTTTTCCCATTGATTTGATGGGCCTTGATCTTCCATTTCCTCCTAGTAACCAGATATTTCTCCCGATTTCAGCGCTCGACCCCAGGTTCCTCTGCGGGTGCAGAGCCTGCCCGTCCAGCAGGTACGCTATCCCCAGGTGGACGGCTCCTCGCCCATCTACGCCCACGTGAGCAAGCGCACCAGCCTGCTGTCCAATGACTCGGACCAATACCTGTCCAGCCAGCAGCTGGGCCTGCTCGGCCGACCGGTGCTCCTCGACCAGTTCGTCCTAGTGGAGACGGGCGAGGGACAGGTGCAGGCCGCCCAGCTGGTGGACTATCATCATCCCGGCAACCTCTACGTGTCCCAGGGCCAGGGCCAGGGCCATGGCTATATGATGCAGGACGGCCGGACCACGCCGCTCATCCTGGACCGTTCCGCCCAGCAGGGAAGCCAGATCTACTGGACGCCACAGCGCCACAAGCAGCAACAGATGCTGCATCGCTTGTTGACGACGCCACCTGCTCCGCGGGGCTTTCAGCCGGTGACGCCTCGACTCAGCCTGCCGGCCACGGCGATGGGAGGAGGACAGCAGAAGTTTGTCACGATGGTGCCTTCGCCTAGGAACCACATCCATTCCCTGGCTAAGAACGGCCACGCCTCGGACTGGGAGCTCAGCTCGGAGGCCGGCGAGGTGCGGCGCATCATGGAGAATCACTTGTAAGGTGAGTGTGACGCGGGAAAAGATATCAACTATTTGAAGTGTTAATTCGAATTTGAATTTAAAAAAAACGGACACAGAGATGCCAGACACTCTACATGAGAAAATTGGGCAGCACTGTTCGCTCATGAACGAAAACATGGGCAGCACTGGGGCTCATGGACGGACGATCTGGTCCGCACCAGTGCTGCCAGACTTTACGTTTGAACACCCACACTCACGCACATGTGTGTGTTTGCATTGTTTTCAATTTCCATTTTTTGCGGCTAGGAGTTCAAAGATAAAGTGCGTCGCAAGTGAGTGCCAGAACATCTGCATATATATTTATAATATATATAGGTGAAACGTGCGTGGGCGTCAGCTGAGCAGCCCAGAAAAGCCAAAACCTTGAACCTATTTTCTGCAAACTTACCTCTGTGACGTAGGTGTATTTTGTATAGCCCTCTCGCTCACACCAACGAGAACCAACAGCTGCGCGTGTGTATGTGTGTATGTCGCAGTTTCTTCCATCTCCTTTATTCCATGGACATTGCGTACTCTGTAACTGCTGCTCTCTCGCTCGCACTTGCACTGGGTCAGCGCTCGGGGGCATAAACACCCACATACAAACATACAATTTAAGTAACATTTCGCGGCCTGAAGTTGCATTGCAGATCCGCTAATTGCCAGATTAGACGGCCTATATAGAGTATAGGCCCTGGCCTGGTAAATTAGTATCGTGTGTGTATTGATAGTTGAGGCCCGGACAAAGCAAAAATAAATGCAACAGAACCCGCGACTGCGTGTGAGCGAGAGGGCTGGTTATAGGCTGTTGCATGTTCTGTTCGCACATGCAGCTGCTGCGTTTAACATAACATAGATGCGCCTAACAGGGCAGTAACATAACAGTCCGAAATGTACATAACATTTTTCGAACTGCTAAGCAGGTCCTTGAAAATAAGTGCCACAGGTGCTTATGTCCTGTCCCTAAACAAAGAAAAAAATATATTAAAAAGTAAAACTTACCTTTAAATATTGCACTTGTTGATGTAAATATTATTTTCACAGACGACAGCGCAGCGATGGATATGGAGAGGGAGTTGGAGATGGAGGGCAGCACATCCGAAGATTTAGGACGAGCCAAGGCCAGGTCCGCGTCCGGGGAGGAGTCACTTGGGAGCAGCTCCTCGTCGTCCTCGGGACCCAATTCGTGGACAATTCTGCCGGTGGTGAGGGAGAGAGGTGAGGGACTTGAGGAGGAGGAGCTACCGGATCCGGGGCGCAGTCCGGCGGATAAGCATGCAAACGACAGGTGAGCCTTGGCTGAAAATAAAGATCGAAACGACAGGAGACACTCACACTCACACCCTTTTTTCCCACCCAGATGCAACAGGCAAGTGACCGACGACTCGCCGGCGGACGACATTTCCGACGGGATCTCGATAATCAGCGACTGCGAGAGCACGGACCGCATCTCGCCCAATCTCTTCCTCCGCCAGCCTCTCGTCGACCTGGGCTTCAGCGAGATGCCCACAGGCCCCATTATCCTGGGCTCGGCGGCCACCACTAGCGGCGTGCAGCAGCTGGAGGAGCGGCAGGACTTCAACGACGGCAGTGCAGATTCCCGGCAGCGAAAGCAGCGGGAGCACGAGGAGGTGGCAGAGCGCGTGGTCCGCTCCAAGTTGGAGATGAAGCTAAGCGACCTTCAAGTGCTGCCACCGCTAGTGCAGAGCGGCCTGACCGCCATCTTCTATGTGGTGGCCACTCTGGCCATTTTGGCCTTTGTTGGCAAGCTGCGACATCCCGAATGGCAGGTTCTCGGCAACGACAAGCCTTTGGCCGATCTGGAGCGCCGTGTGGGCGATCTGGAGCTGCAAAACAACCTGCTGCGGGCCGAAATCGACATCATGTCCAAGCAGCTGCAGTACCTGGGCGGTGGAGGAGGAGGAGGTGGAGGCCAGGAGGCGGGACAGCGCCAGAGCCGGACGAAGGGGAAGACCTTCAAGGCCTGGCCAGGCAATGGGGACTCTGTCCAGCCCGTAGACATTACCAAAACAGACCTGAAAAAGTCCTTCCAGTGCGAGGACGGCCAGTTCGTGGAGATTGCCGCCATGTGCTTGGAGAGCAAGCCACCGCATGCCGAGTCTCTGGCCGATGAGATCGGTGATGCGGTTAACGATGTGCTGCAGCAGTCTCGAGCCTTTCACAACTTTGAAAAGGTCACCGAGAAGCTAGGCACTCTTTCCGGCGGCAACGAGGCCAACGGCTCTCCCCCTCAGTCCTCGAACCCCAGAGCCGGCGCAGCCCAAGATCGAGAGCAGCCAAGGCGAGAGAATGCCTCCAAGGAGCGCTATAAGCCCAGATACAAGCAGGAGCACTCGCACGAGAGGAAGAAACAAGGCCGCAACACCAGGAGCCGGGAGCAGGAGGGGCACTCCGACGAACAGCGCGGGAAGTACAGGAAGTACAACGATCATGGCAGCCGCGAACGTTTTAACAAAAACGGCCGAAAGCCCATGGATAACAGCCACGAGGGGGATGACAAGGACAACGACAGCGGCAGCGGCGAGTGGCATGAGCGGATGATGCAGCACCGGGAGCATGCCCGCCACAAGCAGGCCCAGAAGCGCAACAACAACTGGTACATTGAGCGCGGCGACAGTCGCGAGCAGATGCGTTCTGGCGAAAAGGGACGCTGAATGGGGATGGTGTCGCGTATATACATATATATATATATATATTATTTAATCCCAATGTATACTTAAGGACGACGTGTGCTGGAGACGCACACGGAATTGTGTTGGTTTCGAACAGGGACCTTGTTTCGGGACGTTGAAGCAAGAGCTTATAGGAAGCATGATGTGCTTAATATATTTATTTACCTACGACCACTTCGGCCACGTCGAAGCTTGCCTCATAATCCCTTTGCAATCTATGTATACTGTTCCCAAAGTCAGTGTTAAATACTAGTATTTATCGTATTTGTTAATAGGGCAACATGGTACATATCGCACTCATTTAACTAAAGTGGCACAACCCAAGACCAAAAACCGTATAATAACCAAGATGCGTAACATCGTCTTGTTACTATAGGGTATTTGCCAAAACGTACATCGTGTTTCTTCCATCTGAGGAGGTTTCTTTTTATCCCCGCTGACATAAACAATACCCATACATCTCAATGTTTAAGTGTTTGCCAGTAAAGATAACATTTTGTGTGCTAAGATATACCAAACAGACTCCCAGTTTTGTGTGTTGTTCAACTTGCGTTAAATGTGTCGACGATGTGTCTGTTTTGTAAAATATTAATTGGTTCCAATTTCTCGCGAGCGCGTGGTTCCTTTCCTAAGTTCCAGCTCAACCTAAGAGACAGACCGACCGATTTAGGTGCGGAAACATTCGGCTTGGTTCGTCAAAATATTACAAAATCCATGGGGTGCCACAGAAATCACCAAGGTTTTGAAACCCCTCTCCCCCAAGAATTGTGAATTTAATACTTTTGGACAGCATTTTAAGGGACTTTGAAATTTATTTTTTCTTGGCATACTTTTGGGCCCATATTAAAGGGATTTCAAAACATTGGTGATTTCTTTGGCTCTCCCATATGTTTTTTCTTCAACGAGTATATATCAATGATACGATCCTTTTAGGCAAAAGGTAGCTTTCGCTAAAACTATATAAATAAATAAAAATATATATTTATATTTATATTTATATATACTAGATATTTGTGATACATATAATAAAATCTTTTTTTTTTTTAGATTAGAAAAATAAAAATCACACTTGTCGACAGAAAATTAAAATCATCATGGACCCTCAGTAATTTGAGAACTATTTTTCGTAGAAAACAAATTTTAACGGGCGAAAGAGTGTTCCAGGCTTGAGGATTTCTTATTCTATTTGTCGACCAATGTTATTGTACCATATTAGGTTTTTCTGGGAAGCCAAATCCAAATACAACCACAGCAAAAAAGCAACTATAAATATTTTTGTATGCATGTTCGTTCAATATTTAACAGTACAATTATGTATATATATTTACATCTGTATAAATATGTACCCAAGAATGTATTGCAAAGATAAATAAACTTTCCACGAGTCCCAATTGCAGTGACTCCAATGGAAGTTTCAGTGTGCTTAAAAAAATAAATAAAAATAAATCAAACCAAAAACGATTTTTCATTTTATAAAAGCCTGGGGATACGGTTTCAACAAAAATAAGAAAGAACAAAACAATATCGATCGTTCCTATTGCAGCTACATATATGATATAATCGTTCAATTTAAAATAAAAACAAGAAAGAAAGCTAACTTTGGCCAGCCAATGTTTGTATACCCTTGCAGGTAACAATTAAAATATATCATAACTAAGCCAAAAATGCATTAATTTCGATTCGGAAAGCAGTTTTATGTTAGTTTTTATTAATTTAAAAAAACTGCATACCAAATTTAAAATTTCAAGAAATCAAAATGATGTAACCCCTTATCAAATTTCGCAAAAATGGCCAAAAAATCGATTTCTACCGGACATGTCTAGAAAGATTCGCATGTTAATGCTGATCAAGAATATATATGGTTTATGGGGTCGGAAATGATTTCTTGACTTAGAAAAATGTTACTTTGTATTATAAAATCGGATTTTTTATATTAAAAAACGTCTTAATTTTTTTAAATTAAAAATATCATAACTCGGCCAAAAGAGCATTAATTTTAAATCGGAAAACTGTTATGTGCAAGATTTTTTACAGTTAATAAATCTGCATACTTCATTTAAAAATTTTTAAAATTCAATTTTTTATCAAAATCAAAAATTTTAACCCCTTATAAAATTTTGCAAAAATGGCAAAAAAATCGATTTCTTCCTGGCATATCTAGAAAGATTCCCCTGTTGATGCTGATCAAGAATATATATGGTTTATGGGGTCGGAAATGTCTCCTTCACTGCGTTGCAAACTTCTGACTGAAATTATAATACCCTGCAAGGGTATACAAATTAAAGAAATTCTAAAATTATAAAAAATGTATAGTTTTTATACATTTCTAGGCGTGCCAAAAATCATGTATCTGCCATTAAAGGTCGGTTAAATCTTAATTTGGCATACATTAAGGTCCACCCTAATGTTCTCACTTCGCCTAATACATCCATGGTTTGCGTATGTGTGAGTGAATTTCTTGCATATATGTACAATGCACTTTCATTTCTCGGCCGAGGCTTAGAAGAAAAAAAAAGAGATCGGCTTTGTATGTGTGGGTGTGTATATGCATTTTATAACGTATACGACATGGCGTATACGACATGGCGCAAGCCGTTCTCAGCTCGCTTTCACTGCTGCTCACACACACACATTCGTCAGAAATGATAAAATGGAAAGAAGCTCCCGCAAAAAAGAGTGCAAGTGCCCGAGAGAGAGAGAGAGAGAAAGCAGGAGAGAGGACCGTGCTTAGAACGTTTTGCTTCGTGAGTGCTTCGTGTGGCATCCGTCGCGTTGAATGCAATTATGGTGGACGGGGGTGGTGGCGGTGGGCGAAAAGGGGGGGTGCGATGTACAATGGGGCGAAAAACCACTTTGTGTGGCATCAATTGATAACTTAAAAAAGATGTAAAATTTTTAGATTCTGTTTTTTCAAGCTAGTTTATTAAAACCATTGGAAAATAATAAATGAAAATTGCAATACACGTAACGTTGGTCGTTTTAACGTTAAAACTCTGTAATTTTTCAAGGTTAGCTTAGAATAGAGTTAAATTTTGCGTTTTCTACTTAACTTTTATGCTCTCAAGAATTAAATAATCTGGAGGTGGAGAGAGCTGGACTCACTTTGTAGCTTAATTTGAATATAAGAATATACTTACAATTTATATGTTTTGGTTTTTGCCAGAAAAAGAGATCCTTTGCCCCATAGTGCGATGTACGGTGGTGCGTGTGTATTTGTTTTGTTGCTGGCTCACTGGGGCTCGTTCGCGCGTCAATTCAGTCTCTGTTACAGTTACTACAACGATTTCAAGAACTACGGACGTTTCACACGGCGCTCGCTGGTGGCGCGTGCTACACAATTGAGTAACGACGGGCAAGGGGAATTTCAGCAAAATAAAAACAAAAAAAAAAAAAAAAAAAAAAAAAAGAATAAATAAATAAACCCAAAACGAACCAAACAAATACGGAACACGGAACAACACAACTAACTAAATGAATATATTAAATGGCAAATAAGTAAATAGACGACACGCACACACATCAAATCGACAAACAAAAAAAGAACACACGCAGATTTGAGGAGAAAATCATCACAATTGTAACAACAACTGAGTCATTATACAACTCGCCAGCGCCAGCCAGTAAACGAAAAACTAAAATAAAAACAGCCAGGAGCGAACCCGCATGTATAACCAGCGTCAGAAATAAGTTAATATTATCATCGCGTCGAATCGGCACCGAAATTAACATCAGTGCCCCATTAGCAGCAGCAGCATCTGCAGCAGCCACCCAGTTACATCGGTATATTTCTGAATTTGTCTAAATACGATTTAAATATATTTTCCCGATAACGCCATAGCAGCCAGCGCCTGCATTTGTGTTTGTGTGCCTCTGTGTGGGTGTGAAAACTATTACCCCACACATGCAAACGAGACGGCAAAAGGAGGCGGAGACGGAGATGGAGTCTCGTCGCATCCCCATCTGCCTCTCGTTTTCTCTCAGCCGTTCCACTGCGTCTCGCTTCGTTTCGTATCGTCTCGTTTTGTTGTCGTTATTACACGCTCACTAGGGCAGTGGAGCTCGATAGTGCCGAAAGGGACAGCTGTTCTGTAGCAATGTGGGTGAAGTACGACCTTAGCTCCATCCCGTGCCCTCTCCCTTTGGCAGCTGTGGGTTTGTGTGTAACCGTTAGTTCTCTTCCGTCGCAACGATCTCGCAGCTCAGCTGATGGTCTTCCGCTACCTTAAGCTTTCCAACGGGACTCGTGTGCCCTTCGTGTAACCCTTTGTCACAAATAACAGTAACTAGAGAGGGAGAGCAGCGAAACGTAGATATAACTAAAAATCTATGGCAGTGTGTTTAGATATGAAATAGGTTTCCATAATAATGAGGTGCTAAAAAGCGTTAGATACGAAATGTAGTAAACAATACAGTGCACACACGATAAGCCAACTTTTTTGAGTGTAAAATAAACAAACGTTTAGTTGTATAATAATATACATACATACATATATCTTTTTTTTATAAAAATATATAATGAAATCAATAAACAACTGGAGAACTCGAGTTACTAGCTTACAGCCTTCCACCTTGAATGTTTATAAGAGTTGAATACTGTTGAATGCTTTCGAGTGGATGCACTTCCCCATTGCCAATATAATATAGACGAGAGCAAATCGCAATTCAATTTCGATTGTTGCAACATGCTGGCGACGAAACCAGGAGGTGAAGGATGGCGACTGCAGCTGTTTTTGCATTTTTGGCCCGTGCCGAAATCAAATTTCTGACCAAAGGCATTTGGCATTTCTTTGCGGGCTCTGCAAGCAGTACGTTCGTTCGCTCAAATACAATAAAAAAAAAAAAAGCCGAAAAACCAAATAGAAAAATAGATATTGCGCTGACACACACCCACACAGATGCACAGACAAGTTCGTGTATATTTGTCATTTTAATTTTCGTGTGCTGTTGTGCTCAGATAAACGAACGAGAATCATGTGCCAAAATTTTGTTGCTCAGTTTTTTTTTTTTTTTAAATATTTTTTTGTGTGATTTGTGACGTAAAACGGCTAGCAATTTGACGTTGTGGCTAAATATGAACAGCTGATTTTGTGTTGTTGTGGCTCGTGATGACGGCGGAATATGGAATTTCTAATGGCGGAGGAGAGCCGTTACCGTTACCATTTGACTTCCGGCAGTGTTTTCTGTGCTTGTGAAGAATCCGAACGGAATATAAATTTGGCAATTGCAGTGCAAGATAGCGGGGAGCTGAGAAAAACGAGGGAGAAAATTTCAATAGCTCATGGATATACATACACACCCACAAATACAAATATACGCCCGCGCGGTCAGCTGTTTTGTGTTGTTCTTGAGTAAAAGTTGTAGGAAATTCGGGGCTTGAACGCCAAAAAACATACACAACAACCGTGTCCGTGTCCGTGTCAGTGGCTGTGTGTGTGTGCTTGGATGTCTGCCAGCGAGCTCTCCCACTCTCCTGCTCTCTCCACACGCCTCTCTTTGGAGGGAAATGAGAGCTGCGTTTGCTCCAAGCCAGCTAGTCTGTGGGAAATGCTGCTGGCATGAAGTACAAATAACTCGATGTGTTTGTGTTCGAAGATCTTGTTGTAAAATAAAGTGGCTGCACACACGCTAATGTATGTAGCAGCTTAAATTGCATATATTTGGGGCATGTGACGGTGTGTTAGTGTAATTTCCCGCGACATTCTGACACGGGGAAAATAACCTAAAAGCATTATGCAATGTACATATCAAAATGTGAGCGTAAAGCGAGCGTAGGTTGAATGCAGCAGCAGATCTATGCAATGTATATTTTGTGCCATTTATGTAACGGTCCGTTCTCTCGCGCTCCCGCTCCCGCTTCCGCCCCCGCCCCCGCTCCCGTTCTCGCTCGTACTTCTTCCGCTGTGCTCAGCTGACATTACTTGTCAGAAAACGGTAAACGGCGGACAGTTTGCTCTGCATTTGGCTTTGGCCCCCTCAGTGGCAGTGGCAGTGATGTAACGGCATTCTCGCTCCGCTTCTACTACGACATGTGAACTGGATTACACAGTGCTAAAAGGGGAAGCAAGGCAGTCAAATGAAAAACGAAAGGAAAAAGGCAAACCGAGCACGATAAATTGACACACGGCGAGACGAGCGTTTGTATACCACAGTGACTGTGTCTGTGCGGCCAAGAACAGTGGCGTATGCAAGGGGGCGCATCCTCATTTGAATTTATGCACAAACAAAATTAATATAGCTCTTTTGTTTTAACTTTTATCATATCAATCCTCAAAGTCATAAACATTTTAATTTGAATATTTTTAATATAATAGAAAATTAAATTAAATTAATTTTTTTTTTCGGTGTATTTATATATATATTCCTTTATACATTATATAAATATTACCCTTATTTGGATATAAACAAAGCTCCAATAATTTCATTACAATAAATTGTTCTAAAGATAAAGAACTCCCCCTAAACGTATACGTAATAACGTATACGCCCCATGTGCCGCAGTGTCATTGCGCAAAAACCTGTGCCGTGCTCACCCGCTTAATTATCTTCAAACAAAACGGGGCAAATTGATGGCTGCAAGTAGCCGTACTCCAAATGCCCTACTCATTAGAGAGACATGCACATCGACAGCTTAACTTAATTGAATTAAATGTTCCTAATTGGAAGACAAAAGCACTGTGCCGAACGAATCGACGTGCCATAAACAATAAAGGCCGCACATGTACAATACAAGTCACACACAAACCTTCGGACGGACGATAACATGGGAATCATGTTATTTCACATCGATATGTGGTCTTACAGTGATTTCAGCTTTGATCGAAAATCAGAGTGTGCGCTGTTTAGCACATATCGCTTTTGTATGCATTAGGCTCATGTCTGTTTTATGTCCGATATCTCCGAATATCTGTAAAATGTGTTACAAAAAGTCTCATACAATAAGGGTAAAAATTTGATAATTTCCCTGATATTTAGCTCCACGAAAGAGAAAAGTAAAATGCTGTTAGGCCCCAAATTGTGCCGAAAAGTGCAGACACTTAAAATAGCTGGCATGCCTTTTCTTTTTCTTTCATAGGCTTTTAAAAATAAGCTTAAGTCTAAAAACATTTTTAACATTCCCACATTGACGGAGAGAAACCCAAATACTCTTAGAAAGGACTTCATTTGTTTGAGAAATAATAATAGTGTAATGTAAATCGGCCCTAAAAAACATAATTGAACTAAACCCGTAAACCGTAGGAGATAGCTTATCAATTCCACAATGTTTTTAAAGTAAAATCTAAAATATTAAAGTAAAATATTATATATAAATTGAAGTCATGCCTGAGTACGTCTTTAAAATCTGTCATTTGTTGTTTTTAAAGTTTATTAGAGTCACGGAAAGAATTTTGATGTTTCCATGAAGATTTCTGTACATCGTTTACAAGATTTAAAGAAAGGGGGGGAGTTGAGATATTATTAAACTAAGTGTATTTAACGAAGCTGTCACTAATACTATTATTTTGAGCTCAGTTGTCATTATTTCTTGCGCGCTAACAATCATTTGCTTGGCAGCCATGGAACCCGCTCCCAAAAAGTATGCTACAAAGCGAGCGAGAACCGAGTCCTCCAAGCAGTTGACTTTTCGCCCCCGTCCAAAGGCCTATAAATACATGCCCCTCGAAAGCAAGCATACACTCACTCTGTACACTTGGGTATTTACCCTGCTGTTGCACATAGAGTGACTGGAGGAGGCATGCTCTGCACTTATGACGGTGTGGAAAGTAAACATAGAAATAACAATAACAATAAAAACAAAATCTTCCACGGACGCTCTCCCAGCTGATAGCTGGTTCTCACGCGCACGGCACTCTCTTGGGCAGCACTCTCTCTCTGTGTGTTTCTATGAGCGGCGGTGCACTCTTTAATATATCTGTGTGGGTCGCTCTTGCAACCGAAAATCAATAAAATCTGGGCCACCAGTTTTAAAGGTTGATTAAAACGGTATGACGCGGATTCGTGAGCACGTTCGACGTTACGTTAGTGTGTGTGTGTGCAAAAATATAAATAAACATTTGTAAGCCGAACTCCGGTCTGTGCTCTCCAATCTTCTTCGGGCCTAGAGACCCCTCCACACCCGTTCCAGCCTCTATTCCCGCTTTAAGACGAATTTGGCTGCGTCTTATGTACCGACATAAAAGTGAAAATAGAGCTTTTCAAGTTCACATGGCCAGCGCACACGCACATCATCCGACATAGTACATATATATGTATATATATATATAAATGTATATATGTTGTGTGTGTATGTATAAGCTTATGTGGCCCCCTGCATTTACATACATATGCTGCACACTTTTCTTTCACTTTTCCGATGATCTTGGCTTGCCGGCTCCGAAAGCTACGCAAATCTAATGTCAAGGCCAGCGGAACACTATAGGTTAAAAGTCAAATGGTAAATAATTATCGGCATATCATTAATAGAAACAACTTAAATTAAGCTAAAGGCAACTTAAAGAATCAGGATTATCCGGGGGTTACAATAGAAAAATTATCAAATAACGCTATTTGTTATAATGAAAGTTCAGGTTATATATACATATTTACATATATGTAGTTGTTCCATGAGGATTTATCAAGGGTAAACCAAATTAGACTGATATTAACCTGAAATGGGCACAAATACAGCATTTTAAACTAGATTTAACTAGACTTTGAGTATTATTTGCTCAGCCGAGATAGTAATAGTGAAAACAAGCGCAATACTTGACTTAATTACTTAACGTCAATTGTTGATTTAAGTACGTTTCTGGCTGGGATGATTTGTTGACCTTTTAAAGTTTTTACTTTTCTCACAGAAGGATTAAATCCAATATAATATATTGCTTCAATATTTTGAGAACTTACTAAAAAGTGTTCAAAACCTTACACATTATAAAATAAAGATATACACTATTATTATTATTAGGGAAATCTGATTTCGACTCCAACGGATTCAGGTCAAGGACATTTCAAGCTCTTTGTTCTGAATTGTGTGTAATTATTCAATTAACATAGCATAATTTTATTATTCTGGCACTCTTCTTTATATATCTGATATGAGAATCAATGCACACAGACATTGTTTTGAAACAGTGGTGCCCAAATCCCTGATTCCGTAGATTAGCAAATTTCTCTGCCTGCCAGAATGTAAACAACGTATCAATTTGATCAAATTTTAATTATATAGCCAAATCTAGTCTTTTTCTTAGGGAAATAGTTTATATTTATTTATTTATGAATAATTTATTATCATTTTATTACAAAAAAGTTTTTATTTTTTGTCTCATTCCTTGTCACTTTGATTTATTTCTTACTTGCTCAAGAGCAATTTAAACCTCTTCCTTAAAGGCAATCACTCATACGCAGTGTTGTCTCTCTACAAATATCTGCTACTTCTTTTCTTTCTTCTGTATTTAAAATAAATGTAATAAAACATCTAGAAACTGAATCGATATGAAAAAGCTAGCGTGAATGTGAAATATGTCTAGTACTTTGAAATTTTAAATGACGTATGGATAATTTTTATAAAACTTTAAAGACAAAAATAGTCGAAAAAACACTTTACTGCTATTGCATCCGTTCGTGAAGCGATTTAAAGTGGACCAACTGAGTGAATTCACCCAAGTCGTGAGTCTCGAGTCGTGAGTCGTGAGCCATCGGTCGTTGTATATACACACAAATATACATTTGGTATGTATGTAAGCTCCTGTGGAAACCCAGCAAAGACTTCGCGCCTCGCATTTCAGTGTATGTGTGGCCTTCAATCGGCTTACAAACGGCGAAAAGGTTACGTGCGTATGTATGTATGTAGGGGCACAATACAAGCATACATGACCCCGCTGCACTCACACAGCTGCAGCGTGCAGCATAAATGAGAGTGCGAGTGGGCGGCGATGAGGCCTCGGGGTCGTTTATATGTCACTGCGCAGTGCGCACATCCCGCGCGGCGCAGGCCGAAGAGCGGAGAGCGGAGAGCCAGCCGCCGCCACTCGTTCTCCCTGTTATCTCTTGTTTATTTTTACTCGCACTACTCGGGTGCGTGAGCGGAGGGGGGGATGGGTGAGAGTGGGAGACATGGAGCTTTCACTTGCTCACACTCTCACTGGCCTTCGTCAACAGCTTATCCGTTCGGCTGTGCTCCAGTTACGCACCCGAATGCACTTCGGCTGGGTGGCTCTCTTCGCAGATCTCTTTCTCTTTGGTGGCACGGTTAACGGTTAACCTACATTCCATAGGGTGGCGGGGATGCAAGAGAGTGGGGAGCTGGCTTGCAGCTCAATGACGTAGGAGGAGTGCAGGCACATACACAGCTGTGTTCGCAATAACAGTACTAATCTCTAACTGATTGGGGGCTTTCTTTCGAAACCAAGAAATATCTTATATTTTTATCTGTGATTAAACTATAAACATTGAATTTAAATGATAAACCATTATCGTTTTTACCTCACCTGTGCTTGAACCCAATTTAATTGTGCTTTAAAGGGCTCTCAAGTAGACCCTTAAAAAACTGTGATTCTTCAATCTCGTTTACCGAAGGTCCTGCACTTTACTGCACATATTTAAATAAAAATAAAATTACGGGTTATTTATGATTTTTGAGGGCGCCTAAATTTCTAAGACAATCTTTAGATGAATGTTATCACCAAAGTTTGGTAACTCTAGCTCTCTCTTAGATCTATTCTTTCACATAAACTGGCAGATGGATATTTGTACTGTGTATATATTTTATTCGCTAAAATACGAAATTCAAACCAAGATTTAACGAATTTTTCTATTTATTTTTCCAGGTGCCGACACACATTTCATATACATAGTTGCACGGCCTTGAAAACGAAATTAATGGTTCTAACCAAACGCACTCGGATTGCCAAAACCAAAGAGAAACGAGAACGAAAGATATAACCGCAAAAGGAGAGAAATTCAACTAATTATAGCAACTAAAGAACGTTCTATATAGGTAATGCCCATTGCCGAATAAGTAGTAGCCGGGGACTAAACATATAGACTCGGATATGCTTTGTAAATACAACATTAATCATATTTAGGATCTAGACAACTACGCTTATAACGACATCTGAACCGGAGCTGAAGGTAAAGCACACATCCCAACATTCAAACTTCAAACAAACACGATTCTAATTCTAGTCGAGAAGTATTCACCAAACAGTTATTGTACACACGCGAAAAACCAAAAAAAGTAATAAGCCCTCCCCACCAAAAATAAGTAAATAGCCAACCAGCCAACCAACTAGAAGATAAGCAATCCAAAGAGCAAGGATAATAGAAACCGGCATACATATATATTGAACAAACTAAAAACGCTCAACCCAACAAAAACAAAAAAAAAAAAAAAAAAATCACAAGTCAGTATTCCAAATTTCTATCAATGTGCGGATGATCCACAGGAAAAAAGAAAACGCCGACCACTGGGCATCAGCTTGAAAGAACCACCACCACCAACACCACCATCCGGGGGCAGCACCCAGAGCCGGGATCAACGGCCGGAGTCCTTGACCGAACCACCTAGCAGGCCAGAGCAACGAGGAGCAGAGCGACGAGGTGCCAAGATGCATATTGAAATTCAGGTGGCTCTGAACTTCGTCATATCCTATCTCTACAACAAGCTGCCGCGCAGACGTGTAAATATATTCGGCGAGGAGCTTGAGAAGGCGTTGCGCGACAAGTTCCAGGGACACTGGTACCCAGAGGTGCCCTTCAAGGTGAGTTCATGGTTTTTTGATTAATTTACATTGGAGGGACAATCGTTAATTTTCCCCCCGATTTCACCTGTGCAGGGTTCTGCCTATCGTTGCCTAAAGACTGGCGATCCTATTGATTCGGTGCTGGAAAGGGCTGCCCAAGAAAGCGGTGTACCGATCAGCGATGTCCTCGAGAACTTGCCCAATGAGCTGTCCGTCTGGGTGGATCCGGGGGAGGTTTCATTTCGCATTGGCGAGAAGGGAGCTGTAAAGGTAAGCCATATCCTTGTAGATTGGATCACGAGGTTCCTTCATCTTACATTTTTTTTTTTGTAAACACTAGATTTCATTTTAAACTTTAAACTTTTTCTTGCCATAACGTATTTACAACTGAAAGGTTTCCCCTCTTCCTATCCTCAGATACTCTACACGGAAAACAATGACAACCACGAGGACAGCCACTCGGCTGACCGCGAGGTCACCTCGACTTTCAATCCAGAGGCACAGTGCTTCAGGCCCATCGATGCGGTCAACACAACCATGAACAATCTGAGCTTAAGCCCCAAGGCTCTGCCGCTGGCACTTCCCTTGGCATTGCCCCAGACGGGGTCCTCGCCCCACTCGGCTGCCTCCAGCTCGCCCACCTACAAGGGTAGCCCCAATCCCACGATCTCCGGCAGCTGCAGCTCTGGCTCCGGCACCGGTTCCGGTTCCGGTTCGACCATGTGCTCGGTATCGGGCTCTGGTCCCAGTACCGGCACCACTGCCGCGACCAGTACTGCAGCTGCGGCCTTCACACAGCGCGCTGCCCAGGCGCCGCTGACCTTCACGACGGCTACCTTTGCGCAGACCAAGTTCGGCAGCACCAAGCTGAAGACCAGCTCCAAGCGCGCCAATAGGTAGGTTCTTAAAGCTATATGCTTCTATATTTCCGTAACGTGTGTTTCTGTGCTTCCCCAGCAGTGCCTACCGGATGTCGCCCACTGAGTTCTCCAACTACATCAAACAGCGGGCCATACAACAGCAGCTGCACCACGGCCATAGCGTCATCTCGTCCGCGGGCTCAGTTTCCGGCTACGGCACCTTGGATGCCGTGTCGCCGGCCCGCTCCCTCTCGCCGAATCCCCTGTATTTGGGCGGTGGCCAGTGCACAGGATCCGCCGGAGGCGGTGGTGGCGGCGGCGGTGCTGATTCCTCCTTCTACTACCCGAACATGGCCCTCGGGCTGTATCCGCAGTTTAGTCGCAGCCTCTTCGATTCACACTTCAATCCGGACGCAACTTTGGGTCTGTTTGGCAGCGCCGGAGGCTCCGTTGGTGGCGGCGGCGGGGTTAACAACAACTACAGTACTTACCTGGAGCCGTGCTACTTCCCTAACGGCCACCCCAACATGCCGCCGTTCTGCCAGCTGCATCTGTCCAACGGCGGTGGCTCTGGCATGGAGCGGGCCAATAGCAGCGATAGCTGCTTCGGCCTGGACATGGACTGCGGCATGGTGGGTGGCGTGAATGTCAATGTCAACCTGGATGAAGCTGCTGCAGCTGCAGTGGCCGTGGCCATTGGAGGAGACTCCTCGCCGGACTCCTCGCCCGTGGGCACACCTACCATGAGCGTAATCTCGACTGGTGGCCAACACCAGCAACAGCAACAACAGCAGCAGCAGCAACAACAGCAGCAGCAGCAGCAGCAACAGCAGCAGCAGCAGCAACAACAGCAGCAGCAGCAGGCTCAGGAAGCCTCCACGGGCAAGCTGATAGACGGTATCAACTCCTTCTACGGCGCCAGCTCATCCTATCAGCAGCTGCTGGTTGCCAACTAGAGTTAGCAGGAGACAAGAGAAGGCTCCAACAACACGCAACCATGATAGCCACAGACACCAGAGGGGATCCCACAGAGCCCAAACAGAAGCAGCCGAACCGAACTGAGCGTCTTCGCTACTCAAGTACTTGAACAGATTGTTTTGGGCCCTGAATTGTTACAGCGTTTTGAGATTTTTTTGTTTTTCGTTACCTTTGCGGTGGAGTGAGAGTCCAAGTCCAGTGGAGGGCCCACAGAGATTGGTCGTAGGACATCACACATATACCTACAGACAAACGGATAGTTCGCAACTGAAACAAGTCATACTTTGAAGAACGATACGATGTCACATTCACACCTGGCCAGAGACACGTACCACTGCGACACCCAACAACACCCAGTACACTCGGCAGTCCAGTGCTGAGATGGCCCACAGCCAGTCCTCGGCGACAATATTTATTTTGTTATTAAATTCTGCACAGTTGAAGGTGATGTTTCTTTTCACACCGGATGTACATATGGAAATGTACATAGCCGTAGGCCAACATCATCATTACACCAAGCAAAGGCAAGGTGGTAGGAAAGCAAGAGCAAAAAAAAAACGCATTGCAAAAGCTAATTAAAAGGCAACAAACCAATAAGCAACCACAAAATGAAACCATAATATTATTTTTCTATATATACATCATAATATTTATATATATATGTATATATATAGAAAGAAGTCAACTAGAATTTCTCAACTAATTGTTTTTACTTGTTATGCATATATACATATATATACACATATAAATATTATTAATAATCCAACTTTGGATCAACTTTCGACATTAAGTTTTTAATTAGTTTGTAAACGTTTACTCTAAGATCATTTTTTATATCAAGACAAAGTTAAGAGAGTAAAAAACATTGTTGAATATATAGAGAGAAAAAAACGTAAAAAAAAACAAAAAGAAAAAGAAAAACAGAAAAAGACAACAACAACTTGCATACCCTTGTTCAGCGCCAGAACATCCGAGAACATCCAGCTGACCCAAGTGTCTGACAATGCCATTTGTAGGGGAACCCCCATATCATCACAAGTGCATACAATTCACATATTGGTTTGCTAGCATTTTGTTTTTGTGGATGATACCCGGACTGTGATCCCACATCTATAAATTGTTCCAGATTCTGGATGAGTCGTCGTCGGATCCCCTCCCCTTCCATTTTTTTCTTTTTGCTCTTTTGCTTACCCCTAGAAGAGGCCGGGATATGCAAGCTTCAAAAGGATGACGAAAAGTGAAGAGGGAGAAAAAACCACAGAAACAAAAAACAAGAAAAGAAATCAACAACAAGAACATAAGAATAAAAAAAAACTAAACTTTCTTTGTGTGTTATATTGTATGTATTACTATATATTTGACTTCGTACTTTTTTTTTATATGTATGTATATCTATTTTTATATGAACATTTGTAATTTTTATAAATCAACTAAAGTAAAAACAATTTTATACTTTTTATATGGGCTTACGTGAAAATACCTTGTGCTGTATGAACGTTTACTTTAATGTAAAAACAAAAAACAATGAGAGAAAAACAAGCAAACAAAAGAGCATTTTTATTTAACTTGTTCCAACTTCGTTCCCCTCCCCCTCCCCCCCAAAAAAAATAACATAACAAATTAATGTAAATAACGCATACACATATGTACATTTTTTCTGGTCAATCCCCGAATTTAAACGCAAGAGCACACCCTTCATAGAATATCGTTTAATATTATATATATTAACTCTACACCTAAGACTACACAAGGAACACACAGAACAGTTGGCAAGACAAGTGAATTCCTTCTAAATGTACATTGAATATTTGTATCTTAAGTAGCATTTGTAATTATGCAGGTGTCTTTTTTTACATTTTGTTAGAGCCAAGAAACAACAAACAAATACAACAAAAGGAAAAGCAGATGAGTGGAAAGAGATTTTAAGTATTTTGAACAAATGTATTCGAATATGTACCTACACATCCATCATGGGATGTGTTTATCTGAAACTCACCACTGAAAACGGAAATTTAATGAAACATTTAAGTACCTTAACGAAGCTTCTAAACTATATAGCTACTGTGAGTCCGGATCAACTCAAGTCAAGCCAACAAAAAGAAGAAATGCTATTTCCTTTTTCAAATCCAATCTCCTTTTGTCCGACACGAGGGGCTTGCAAATGGCCAATTTGCCAGTTTGCTAATTTACTAATTTGCTAATTGCTAAATGGCAAGTGGCAAATTGGGGCATTGTGGCTAGCTTTTGTATTCTGAGATCATGGTAGCGCATAAGTACCTACACATACACCCTTTCCCCACCAAAGACCATATAAGAAATAAGATGCGCTACGCCCAAGGCAAACGGCTGCGTTCCGCATCTTATTATTAGATTGCCTTTGCCCCCGAACACATGCGACACAAATGACACGCGACACGATGGAATGCGGGCACTTTTTTTTAGATATTATATTAGAGAATATATAACTAACCAAAACCAAAACCAAAACCAAATGCAAAAACCAAACAAGGAATAAGAAATTTTGTACTTTTATATATATGGTGAATATGTATATATATATTTAGATATATATATATATGTATACATGTGTATATATCCGTTAACACGTATACACATATGAATGTCTCCAATGGGTTCAACTCAGCTTCAGCTCAACAAACGAACTCTCAATGTGGTTTTTGTATGCATGTCTCTGAATCTGAATGGTAGCGAACAGCAAACTTATCGTATAATGTTTAGAAAAGAAATTAAGACAGAGCAATAAGGCACAAGTATAAGACCCCCCCCCAAGTCTAATGCATGTATCCTCTCTACCAACCTACATATACATATATTTATATATATACTAGTATATACCTGAATCGTAGACGGAAGCGGAGCGAATACCCGATGGCTTGCTTAGAAAATTTTTCTATTGTGATTGTGATACCAATGTAAGGCACAGAAAAAGAAAAAAGAAAAAAGAAAAAGAAACAGAAACGGAAACGGAAACAGCAACAGATTCATATAATAGATAATATGTACAGTACCGATTGTTGGGAAGTTAGGGAAAAGAAGAATCAAGAATCCGCCTGTCATCGATGTCCACCAAACTTACATTTAGACGCGGTCGCGATGAAATTGTATCCGACCGATCTTAAGAACAATAGGAACCTTTAATGGTAGATACAGAAATATACAAAACATATATTTTACAATATGGAAGTAAAAAGCCACACTCAAGCCCACATTCTGATACACACTGATATTGATAAATAAATGATAATGATAGATGATAAACAATAAACGATAATTGATAAATGATAAATGATAGATTTAGATACAAGATTCAAGACAAGATCCGATTTAGAAAACAAACTCACTAACTAAGCGTGCGTATTTTAGGTACAAGATCCAGACAACCATTAATGGGAAATAATACTAAACTGCTTTTTATACCTCAGATATGTTTCTATATATGTATGTATCTATGTACACACACACACACACACACACACACACACACACACACACACACAATGCAATGTAAACGGAAAACGAAAAATGAAAAACTAAATTCAACTACATGACCCACTAGTCGTCGTCGTCTATAAGGTCCTTAAATACCGATATTTTGATAGGTAGCTAGAGATGACAAATTCATTTATGAATGTGTAACTTTTATATATTTTTAGGAAACTTGTTCAATTGATACGCTTTTTCCAAACATAAAATCTAAATGTGCATTATCAAAAAGCAAAACAAAACAAAACAAAACAAAACAAAAAACTCCACCAGAACTCGTGTGCTGCTCTCGGAGGATAGTTAAATAGTTTCTTCCGGGACAAATGCAACTTGGGCGAATATCTACGATCTACGACAAATTAAGCTCAATATATATACCCATATATATCATAGCTCTATTCCGTATCATAACTGTATATTCTTTCCGCGGAATCGAATCGAATTGTAAGAAGGCAATATTGATATACCGATACCAGATAGATACCCTCTCATGCGTATCGGTATGCCTAAGTGACGCCAACAATGGACATGGAATGTATTGTGATTTGAGTTCTAAACAGTTATGTGTGTATGTGTCTTTTGTTGGGTGCATGTACATAGGAAAACAAGTTCAATATATATATATATATATATATATATTAAACTGGGTAAATGTACGGGTTTTGTATTGTATCGATAATTATATTATTTAACTTCAACTTCGATAAGTTATGGTACTGATTGCTCTATAGCGTTCATTAACTGACAAAACAAAGCAGCAAAAGGCAGAAAGTAGAAAGCAGATAGCAAAAGCAAAAGCAGAAATGGAAATTAATTAAATTAATGCATATCAGTGATCACAATAATGATGATGTACATACATTGTAAGCAATGAAGGCCTTCAGCCATCGTAACAGCTGCGGCAGATGCAACACGAAGAATTCCATGGTTCTTCAGGTAGCCAGACCCAATCTTCTGGTCACAAGACGAATTTTTAAATTAACATTTGCTCACACAACACAAATTAAATAGGATATGTTAGGGTTGCTCTACTTTTTTAAAATTTCCCTGGGCATGATTTTTAATGACTTCATTAGGTAACCAAGGATTTCGGTTCTATATTCTATCATTTTGTGTTGCAAATTGCAATTTCTAAAAAACATTTACCACATCTGCTGAGAGTTTTTGGAATGACTTAAAAAAACAAAAAAGAAAAATAATAATAATAATAAAAACACAAACAACCCAAGAAATGTACGTACATACATATATATGTATCTATTCATAGTACCGAGAAGAAAAATATTCATTCAATTCAAAACCCTTTAAGTGTGTACATAAGCCTAGTGGTAAATAATATGACATGTATGTATTATGTATAGTAAAAAAATATAACTTCCATATTGAGTATTTTTCATATTACCTTTAATAGAATAAAGATTATCGTATTATTCAAAAGGATTGTGTCAAGTTTTTTGGGACTACTTCTGCATAATATTTTAATTTCATGCTTTCAGGATTACGTTGAATTCTTGCATAATTTCGGACAGTAGATGCGATGAAAAACTAAACTGTTATAAACTGTTATAATAACAGATTGCAGCAACTAATTAACTATTCCCTAAAAAACTATATTTCAGAAAAAACAACAGAGTAGCAATTCATTTTTTAAAACGTTTTATTAAAATTTGTTTTCGCTTGGGGTTCGGCTGCACAAAAAAATATATATTGCATTTATTTCATAGTAAACGCCCGTGTGTGTGTGTGTGTTAACGCTAAATGTTGCTCCTTAGGTAATCGGTAAAATGTTAGTTTCCTTTGTTGGTTGGTTTGTCTTGCCAATCGGTTTGTGGATGGCTCCTGTGAAAGCAATTGCAATGGCCTATTTGCCGAATGCGGCTTACGAGTTTCGAGTTACGAATTGCGAGTAACGAGTAACGAGTAATCAGTTACCAATTGCCAGTAACGAGTAACTAGTTACTAATAACGAGCAACGAGTCACCAGTTACCATAAACAGTTTCCAATTAGAAGTAACGAGTAACCAGTTATCAAGTTACCAGTTACGGGCTAAAAGTATCATCGCTGTGTCCAGGTAAGGTACTTCTTACAACTTACAACTATTAAACATTACTTTCGTTATTGGCAGCGACCTGCTTAGCTCCCGACCCGCTTCCAGATCCCCCGGCCGCTACTCGGGCGCGGGTAAATTTGCTAATGGACGTGGGCGATGCGGTGGCAGCGACAGCGGCAGCTGCATCCAAGCGTAGACTGTTCCCGGCCGGATAGACGCAGCCCTTGCGCCGGCGTCCCGCCGGAGAGCCGGCACCTCTATCACCGATTTGTACTAGGCTGGACAGATCATCGCTGCGCGAGAAGACAAACTCCTCGGAGGACAGGCGCTTGCGCACCCTTCCGCCGACCACATCCGGTTTCTTGCCATTGCTCAGCGGCGAGGGTGAGGCGGGTGCCACCAGGGCCGGAGTCTCCATGCCATTGCCACCGCCCAGGACGGGAAAGTGGGACTCCAGGACGCCGGGTCGCATGAGAATCTCCTCCAGGTGGGGACCACCGTTCTGGCGGGCCGGCGTCGCAAATTGTTCCAGCGAGGAGCTGGCACTGTAGAAGCTCGTATCCGCGGAGCCCTCGGAACCGCATTTGCCGTGCTCCGAGCGAGTGCAGCAGCCACGCTGGGCATCCCGGCCGCAGGGACAGTGGGGACACAGTCGCAGGCAGTGCTCTTCCGTCAGGATGTCGCTGTCACTGAAGGTCAACTTCTTGGCCGGCGGCGCAGGCCTCGGCACATGATCCTGATCCCCGTCGAGGGGATCGGCCGATTTGGAACTCTGCACGGCAGTGGCGGCATGGGGTAGCTGCAGCCTCTGCAGGCTGTGGGCGGAGGCCGACTCGAAGCTATCGTCACTGGAGTCCAGGCTATGGGCGGCCGGCGACTGGTCCGGGAAGATGCGCGGAAAGGTGACAAAGACACGGCCCAGCCGCTTGTACTGGTCCTGGGTCCGACTATCCTCCGCACAGCCCGCCAGATTCTCGGTGAACTTGGGTGCCCTCCGCATGACCTTGGGCGTGTGCAGCTGCGACTCAAAAATATCCTCCAGCGGCACCTTGGGCCCGCCCACACCCATGTGCTGCAGATAGCGTTCGATGCTGTTGGCCAGGCTGATGGGAACGCTGGTGCGCGAGGAGACGCTGGAGATCTCGGACAGGGTCTCGGGGCTGGCCAGTGGCGCCAGGCCGTACCAGTCGTCGTGCAGAAGGTCCACGCCCTGCGGCACTGCTCCGGCATCCGAGGCTCTCCGGAGGGCCTGCACCTGGGCCAACGGCAGCGACCTGGGCTTCTTCTCGGAATGCTGTCGCTCGAGCAGGGACTTCTCCGGCAGCGACGGCGGTGGGGTCAGGGCCATGTCGAAGGCCACCGCCTTGAGGCGGGGTATGGCCGCCACCTCCTCCGGAAACGGTTCGGCATTCCCAATGACCGTACCCGTCGTCTCGGTGCTCATTAGCGATGGACTCTGGCGCAGGGCCACTGTGGCCAGGCTGTCGTCCAGGGCGCTTGATATGTCGTACGGCGTGGTGCCCGAGCTCAGCTGGCTGCGTCCGAAGATGCTGCCCGCCAGCGAGGAGGCTTTGCTACCGCCACCACCACCAATACCACAGCCGGCGGCTGAGCTCAGGCGCTGCGGCTGCGACGGAGGCGCGGAGCCATTGGTGAAGGACGTCTCCAGGCAGAGTTTGTGCTGCGCAGTCGGCGTCAGGGCGAGGCAGTTGCTCAGATTTGTGTAGGAACTTTGCGAGGGCCGCTTGCAATGCTGCGACTGCGCTGAAGTCTGCATCTGGCCGGTGTCCATGTCCGTTTCTGGCCCGGATCGGCACATTGGGTCCGACGTCCCATGGCCGCCGCAGTGCGTCGCCTTCTGGTCCTGATCCTGCCCTTCATTCGATGCGGTGGAGAATGCATTGGATGTCTGGCGCTGGGGCTTGCGTGGCCCACTCGTTGTTACAACCTAAGGGAAGTAGCGAGAGGGAATGGTATCAGTGTTGGCATGGTTTGGTCTCTTAGCCCAGATAAGGTCTACATTGTAGTCCTACTAGAATGTTTAGTAGACTGATTGATTGATTCGCTTCGTTCATATTTGCTGAGTTTTACGCATTTAAAGTATACAATCAGTATTCATATTCTAAGGAATACGTTTACATTATTTATCTATTGCAAATAACAACTTTCATAACCAAATATAAACGAATTCAAGCCAAGAAACCAATGAATCAATCGTTGTTTTTACTGCTCGTAAATAGTTATATATGAATGCAGAAAGAGGCGAGTAGATGTTGCGAGCGAGAGAGTGGGATGCATGTATGTACAGCAGTGTCACAGATGAGCGAGATAGAGACGGAAAGAGACAGATGCAGATGCAGATAGCGAGTGACTAAGTACAGTTGCGTCAAAGTGAAGCGAGTGAAGGTACAGGTACAGAGTTGCTCATGACTCGACAGTTAAATAGTTCGATAGATCGCTGTGGTGAGGTGTGATTTGGTTAGTTGGATAGGAGCTGGAGCTTACAGGTGCAAGACACAATATCGAGATTGGTTTTCGTTGTACATTTACAGCGAGTACGATTACATTTAGAGAGTTTACAAAATTGTTGGGTTGTTTGTTTGGTTTTTGTTTGAGGTTGGGTTGAGAGCGGGAGAGAGAAATATACATAGAGAGAGGTAGAGAGAGAGACTTGTAATTCGGTTGACATATTTAAGAAATAAGTTTGGTTTTAACGAGAGCAAAATGGAAAGTTGCTTTAGTCGTTTGTTTTAATGATAACATTGTTGTTTTCTTAAATAGAATTAGGCTGGCGGCTGTACCTGGTATCTGTATCTTGTGTTGTCGTAGTTGTTGTAGTTGTAACTGTTGTACTTGTAGTTATTGTCGTGTTATCATTACGTCTACGAGTAGTACATGCCTTTGCGGTTCGTTCTCTACAAGACACGACCTGCGCACATCATCGGATGGTCGGATTATCGGATGATCGGGTCACATACAAAATCGGTAATTGGTAAGAACGGTATTCGGTTATCGATAATCGGTATTTATCACACACGCATATCGTCGAAAAGAAGCAAAACGAAAGCATAAATAAGTTGATAAGTGGTTTCACAAGTTGATTGATCTATATCGCAAATATGTATGCATCTCCTAGGGGCGAATCGAATCGTTTAAAGAATCGATTTAGGGAGTGGGTGGATCAGGGGGTCATCCTGTAGCCTGCCTGACCACTACTCTCTCACTGCAACTACATAGCTCACAGCGAAGGCCAAGTCAGCCCTCTATATCCCAGCTCAGCGGAAAGCGAAAATACTTCGACTACCACATATTTTTAGCCATTCCAGAAGCTTTACAACAATTTATGTAACAACCATTCCCATGCAGCAGATATTTTTGGGGAGATTGTGTGTGTACGTGTATGTCTGTATTGCGATTGATTGTGTTTTAGTAAATAAAGTCGAAGGCATAACGAAAAGTTGAATCGAACAAACTTACCAAACTGAAATCCGCATAAAGAACTCAATATCAAATCATCATCAAAAGTTGTGCAATAATTTCGAAACCGAAACGCTGATACTCTTGCCAAACGCTTCCATCTGCGTTACAATCTAGTGGGAAAGACAGGTCTACTTATGAGCTGTGCAAAGCTACTACAAGGCCTACCTTTGGGATAGTTTAAAATCAAATAAAATCAAAAGGAATAATTGGTTCTGGTTGTATATTCGTCATAAAAAACAAACACATATAAGAGAAAAACATATATATATATATAAATACGAGATATAATTATAGAGAGCGATACGCGGAGATTAAATAAACGAAATGCAAATTACAATTCTTTCACTTACACAATAATTGGGCAAGGTTTTCTCAAAGACCTTATAAAAACAAGAGCACAAAGTTGAGAGCGTAGAAATTTACAGATTTGATTAAGGAATTGGCAAAAGTTTCCAGAGCTCGCTCTCTCGTATTGCGTTACTCATCTTGTTACTACAAGGTCCTTGGCTTAAAAATAAAATACAAGTACAAAAATTAAACTTAAGAGTAATTGTAAACATTTAAAGTCCGTTGTCAATGCCTCCACACAGCGAAAAATACAAGATTAAGTTAGCGATAGTGTGTGGTGCTGGCTAAGTATCGGGGTTCCTAACTCTAAACACACTTGGATATCGAAAAAAAAAAAAAGCGGCAATAAATAAATACGAGTAAACAAATAAACGTCGCACAATCGAACAATTGCACTGAAACCAAAAGCGAGAGGCAGCCTTAGACTAGATGTAGCGTTAAACGTAATTGGCTTTACAAATATGTAAGGATTGGTGTAAGTGTTGGTGTTCGTAATGAGTTGTGGTTGGTGGTTTGTGGTTTGTGGCTTGCATGGCTTCGGTTCGGCGACCTACGGCCTTAAGGCTAGACTAAGGGCAAGGTACAGTACGGTACATTTCAGACGAACCAACTAACTAGATCGGTGCTGCGTACTCTATATATGTATATGCTAAGGGCTAGTTAGACTATATATACGGTTCTAGGACAACGACGAAGACGACGTGGTGTAAGGTGTCGGTGTCGATATTGGTATCGGTATCGGTATCGCTATCCATTCCATTCCACTCCATTCCAAGTCGGATATGGTCCGATCAACTGGCTGTGGAATAGCTGTGCACCGAGGAGCTGCGATCGTCATCGATCTCCCCAATTACCTTCTTGAGGGCGGCCAGGACCTTATCGGGCATGTGATCCTGCAGCATCACTGGCGAGATGAGCACTTCGTCAAAATCTGTGGAATCGGCCCAGATGGCCTGGTAGACGGGCTCTCGATTCTTTAGAACATTCCTGCAAAATACACAAGAGCTTAAATTAAATGCATTTCGTGTCGAAAGTTTACCGAATATATGTATCTATGAGAGGTATCTACTATCTAAGTAATAAAGGTATTACGGAAATTCCTTCCAGTTACATTTGAAGGCTCAAACTACAACGTTATACTGGACTAATAGACTTTATGAACTCTTAAAAAACACTAGATAAATATGATTTCAATGCATCTTGGGGTTTTATTATACAATTTAACTAAATAACAAAAAACTTAAACGATTATATATATTTTTTAGATCTTAAGAGCTCAAGTCGAGCTTTTACTAATTCTCTACAAGATTATAATAATGGAAAATGAATTATTCGTATGTAAGGATCTCAAATCTTGATCTGTAGGATCTGAAGGGATTTCCGTGACACTCTTCTATATATTTTAAAGAAGTTTATACTCAAGGTTTCCAAGGATCTGAGTTCATGCGGGGACTGTTTAATCTTTGAACACAACTAATAGTTTTCCGGCTAACGAGAGCTGGACAGGGCGACAGCGAGAGAAAGACAACGAGAACGAGAAGGGGACGAGTCTTATAAAGGAATGGACAAAACATGCTTCCAGTGGTATTTTGCAACATGGTATTGGTATCATGCAACAAAGAATTACAGAAAAAAATAGGAAATGGATATACGAAGCAGGGAGGTCCTTTAAAACGAAACTCTTAGATTGTCACTAGTTTAACACACACAAACCAAACAAGCTACTACAGTGTTTATGCGAAGCCGAATTCATGGATTCATTCCATCATAAATTGAGGGGAAAGAGGGTTTGCCTAGACACCATTTCATATATTATTCGTAAAATGGCGTTTAAATTAATTTAAAAAAATTGAAGCCAAACTGGACATGCAACCACTAAGAATTTCTTGTTCTGAAGTTGCCTAGAAGAGCACCAATATAATTTGGCTTTTTCCATTTATTTTGTTTACCAATAAGCCGTCCTAATCACAATATTCTGGCATCTCTTCTCGTAATATCCATGCATGAATTCGTGTTCTTCGCATAAACAGGGGCTATGCTGACTTCACGTATTCGAGAATTCATGAAATCCATAGCTTTAACAAGGTAAACGACACGTAGAAAGTGTGCAAAAGAAAGGGAAAGTAAGAGAGGGGGAGAAAGAGGGCGAGCACGAGCATGGGCAAGAGAAAGAAATAGAGAGTAGTGGGAGAGAGAGAGAGAGACAGAAGAGATAGAGACAGAGATCGAGTTGAGTTATTGCAGCGCCGCTCAAGCTCTTCTTCCCATCTGTTTTTTTTTTTTTTATATACGTGTGCGTGCTCGTATCTGTGTGTGGGTGTGGATGTCGTTGTGTGTTTGTGTGTGCCTACCTCCAACCACTGTCGTATTTTTGCCTGCAAAACATTTTCAAAATTAATTTCTTTTCTCTAATTTCAAGCAGCGTATTTCATGCCCCAAAAAGTTCTTTTAATATATCTAAAAATATTGCTTTCAACGTTAAACTATCGATGTTATCTATTTAATCGAAAAAATAAACGATTTAAGGACTAATTTCTGATAACTTCTGTACATTTAATTTCAGCAATAATAGTTTAATCTAAACAGCTGATAAAATATCAATCAAAATCGATTTATATATTAGCTTTTGCGTCATATATCGATACAGTATTGATCTATCGATTCTTTAAGCCTTTCTTTAGTGTACCTCTTTATGTTGCTTTCTTTTTTTGGGACATGAATACGCAGCCTTTTTTAGCGGGGAATCAGGACTTGGGACTTGGGACAGTGGCAAACAGAATTGGAACAGTGGAAATGAAACTGGTTCGAAGCCAAAAACAGAAACACAACGTAACAACACAAAACTGAACGAAAAAAGCAGAAGCAGTAACACGCGAATCCATCGCTTATGCGGCGATACCCTGTAATTTCATCAACAAACAAAAAAACCAAAAACACTTAAATTTTATTGCCCAGAATTGAAGTCGTATAAAAGTTGTTGTTGCCAAGTGAATACATAATGTAATTCCAATCGTTATCAATTATTTGGGGGCTTTAGTTGATCACAATACACGTTCGTATCTTATCTATTCCACATTCAGTTACTTTGGTAAACTTCATTATATTTGAATTTCCTTTATTATTAGTATTGAGTTTGTATTAGGCTGAAATTAGAGTGCTTCTACTTGTTATTAAAAACTTATTCCTTATCTTAACTCTTGACTCTTAAGCAGTTAAAATAGAGGTAGTAATATCTGGCTTTTAACCTCCCGGTCTTGCTAAATGCTCGCAAACGGATTCGGAAAAGAACGTTAAGTGAACAAAAACCGAGCCACAATATTTCAACGCCTATTTCCAGTTTCTTGCCGCCATAATTATATTAAAACTGCCTTGTCAAATATATAATCTTGGTAAACATTAAAGTTGAAGACTTGATTTCAGTTTTTGGGGAAACTGGTGGACATCTGTCGTGTTAGTTCGTTCACCTCAATGTGGAAAGAGAGTTGAGAAGATCACCACGTCATACCGGGTATGACTCAGTTGCGGATCAACTTGACATTTCACCTCTCACTTTCTATATGGAGCGATAACAGCACTCGGCTTGGTCGACGTTATCGCACCTCAATTAGCAGCGACCTTGGCCAGAGGCGGATCTTGGAGCTTGAAGCTCAAACCAAACACAAAGCATCAACAAATAAATCAACGAGGGGAGGTTAAGGGGTCGAGGAGGAAATATATGCGGATGCGGTTGGGGCTACTCACTCGTCGGGCTTGGGATGGTGCCGCACTATATGTATGATGCGGCCGGGCGGATACAGGGGCTGGTGCAGGGTTAAAGCTATCGAGCTGTCCGTTGGATGGGCGCTGGTCGAACGGGCTGTGCCGCGCTCCTAGAAATAGGGATAGGATCTTTAGTAACTGGATGGATAAATAGATGGGCAGAAGTGGAAGGCTACTACCTCCTGGTACTGATTGATGTGTGTGTCCTGGCCGGACATGTTCACCACGGAGGTGGGCTCCGGTCCGCAGCCACAGCAGATGACCGAACAGGAAATTGTCTTCCACTAAAAAACGGATGAGAGATGAGATTAAGAAAGTCTCTTGTTTTTAAGTTCCAACAAAAATCCACCTTGGGATCCACGCTGCGCTGGATGGCATTGATGAGATCCGCTCGCAGGGCCTCCATTTGGTTGAGACCGATGCGCGGCACCACATCCTTGCCCAGCACCACCGAGGTTATAAAAGACTTGGAGTACTCCACGGCGGGCATGCTGAAAGATCGGTCATAAGATTAGCTTGAGATGATTCGGCTTAAACTTCGGGACTGAGAGCAGACCTGAGCAGACCGCCGGGCGGCGAGTAGCTGAAGCACTGGAGCGTCGGATGATCGGGCTTCAGCAGGATGGCCAGAATGGCCGCCGTGCCGGCGCCTAGCGAGTGACCCACCAGCACCAGGTCAAAGGTGTGCGTATGCCGGTCAGGATTTCGTTGCAGCGCCTTCTCGATGAGATTCTCCTCCTGCAGCTTATTACGTATATAGATCGCTGCCTGGACCATGCCCTTGTGGCCCAGCCAGTCGTCGCGGGGCGGATGAAGCGGCAGGACCTCGCCCTCGGCATTCAGGTCCGTCAATATGTCCTTCATGCTCAGCGTCCCACGAATACTGATCACAATCGCCCGCTGCGTGTAGTCGATGGCCACGAAGAAGGGTGTCTCGCCCACATCCACATGGTAGGTGGCATAAACGATGTCAATATCGCCCAGCTGCAGGGTCTTCTTCAGCGCTGCATAGTTGCAGAGGCAGCAGTTGTCCTGGATCACCTCAGCCTCATCACCGCTGCCGCAGCAACAGCCGAAGCACCTGCAAGAACTCGGCATAAGCAAGGGAAGTTCCTCTGGAAACCCCAACCCAATCTCAGGCTCAGGTTACTCACTTCAGTTCCGGCAGCAGGTGCCACATTTTGGTGCGATTGATGATGACGTACATGGGCCAGCCGTAGGCGCCCTGGGCAAAGTACATGTAGTGGATGACCGTCTGAAAGAAGTCATAGTTTTTGGCATCGTTGAGTGCTAGGAACTGGGTACGCTCCGTGATGGGTACGCCGCTGAGGAACTCGTAGGTGCCGTTCTTGCGCTGACGCACAATGGCCTCGCGCTCCAGCCGCTGGAACTTTCGGAGCAGGACCAATCCGGCCACGACATCCGATGGCACCACGTCTAGCTCCCGAAAGAAATCGCTCAGCAGGCGTGCAATGTCCGTGAACGAGTTTCGGTTGCGCTCCGATGAGCCCATGCAGCAGAATAGCAGGCGGCAACGATGGTCCCAGCTGTCCTGGTAGGCGCGCATCACTTTTCTGTAAAGGATTTGGATGTGTACAAATTAGTTAATAATAAAAAGAGGGGACGGTGACAACCCACCTCTGCCGCCAGTTGCGATTCATGCTGTTGCTCCTCTTGTAATTGAATCGCGACTCCGTCTCCCGCATGGATCGCTGGTACTTCTTCATTTTCACCCAGGATCTGCCGGCTGCATCGAAGGTGCACCATATTGTGATGAGAGTTATCACCACCAGTACCCAATTGCAGATGATGATGGCTGTGGAAGATTTAATCGATTTAAAGTCGATTAAAATCGATATACTTGTAGAATTTTTTAGATAAAATCGATTTATTTCCTGCTCTAGTATGATGTATCGAACGAATGTTATACGAATGAGACAAATAAATGAAAAACTTTATTTATAAAATTTGAATTTATCAAAGGTAAAAAAGATTGTAATCTTTTCGGTCTAATAAACGTTTTACTTTTGTCAGAATATACTTTTCGATATATGTAGCACTCGAATGTTAAATCCAAGGTCAAAAACTGTCGTTTATATGAAATTCTAATAAAATCCGTTTCAATTATTCATAAACTATGCACTTGAAATATGACTTTAACTATAAATATGAATATGCAGTCATTAATGAATTTATTAAGCTAATAAACAGGAAAAACGAGTAAGCAGAAAATTCCAAAAATCTATTTATATGCAAAAACGAGGAAAACAACTTGAAAGTACAACTAATGTTTGCATTTAAAAAAATATACAGATTCTATACAATATTTTACATATGTTCGATAACTATCAAGAAAGAAGTCTTAAATAAAATTCCCAATCTGTAAATACTTACCTATATAGACCTTTTTGGGATCATCGATGGGCGAGGTGGCATAATAATGACCCAGCCAAATGGAGCCCACCACCAGCCAGGCAATATCGAATAGAATTACCACTGAAAAATATATTAAATACATACACATACAGGCACAATTCAAATGTAATTTGGAATATCAAAATATTGAAACTACAAAAACGGCAACTCACAGCTCTTGAGATATATCCAGATGTTGATCGAAGTACGCGCCTCGGCATCCAGAATGCTGCCCCGCATCGAGATCACACATATACCTATTTCTACGCATATTGAAACTGCAAGGAAAACATACATATATCCATTGAATTCGAAATTACGACTGCCAGGATGCTTTCATACTCACAAAATAGTATCAACAAGTAGCCTATTAGATGATAGAACAATAGTTTTATGCTTAAAATTTGTGTATTATACTCAAAGAAACCCAACGAGAAGCCAACAATCACAAAACTGTCACAACAACAAGAGAAAGAACAGAAATATACATTATTATGTTATGAACTATGTCCAAGATGGTTATTAAATTATCGGTATGTTATGTTTTACCCACCAAATTAAATGAATCGTCAGGAGAAATGCGCCCGGAACCACGAGATCATCAGAGCCCACTGACCAGCGGCGTCTGAAGACCACAAGACCAGGCATCTGTAAGAAAATTGAAAGGAAAAGTAATTAGTTTGAGGGCCACTTTATACCATTTTTTTTTTTATAAAGCTTTTATGATTTAATGATCATCAAATAAATAAGAGGTAAGACTGTTCATCACTGCGTATACGTTATATTTTGTGCAAAACGTAAGGTAAAAACAAAGTATACAATAAAGTTTAAGAGGTAATTTTACGAATATAAAGTTACATTTATTAATATTTAAGTACAAAGTTTAAAAGGTTATTTTATAAAAATAAGAATATACTATATAAAAAAATTCAAGTCCCAATTAATAAATATTTTATCAAGTTTATAAAAAATGAGGTTTTAAAAATAGAAGAGCAATGAATGCCAATAAAAATGGAAGAATGATATATGCCATCTAGGAACAGCTGCTCGCGAATCCTGGACCATAATCATACAACTTAAGAGGCCAAATGCCTGTGGCCATTGGTAAGCTTCTGAAATTACTATGTAATCCCAGAACTGGAAAATCAGAGGCAGCCCTAGCAGTGTGTTTATATGATAGCGTAGCGAGTGTACAGTCACAGTCATGTCAATATGCAGAGCGAACGCCTTGGGGCAGCTTAAGGTTCCTATTTTGCCACCCACCACGTCCCTCTAAATGTCATATAGAGTGCAATTGTAAAGCAAAGCATAATCAGGGTTAGACACGAGCAGGGGGTGCGAAAAAGGGGTGGCAGAGGGGTGAGGGTGATAAAACTACACAGAGAAAATGCAATTAACTCACTATCGTAATAATATCGTAAAAATTCAGTTTTTAATGAATGTAAGAATATTTAGATTAGGATTGCATGTATATCGAGATTTTAAATATCGAGATATATCGATATTATAGAATACAAAATCCGTAAGATGTGATTTACTTTATTTCGACTCTTATTTCGAATGCATCAAAATATTATACCGATGTAACGTGCATATATCGCAACGTTATATATCGACTTTTGCATCAATCATCAATCGATACAGCACTTACATATATATATATCGAATATATTACAAATGTTTATTTAAGGAAATAACAACTTGGTTTGGACAACATTGCCTAGGAATGCTAGTGTACGAACTTGTTTGGGGATGTAAGCCATCATGCTTGAAACCGCCACCATAATCGCTGGCTCGACATTGCATCGGGGTCCGATAAGGCGGGCTTAAAACATGGGAATCGCACAAGGGAATGCACACTGATATTTGCATATCCGGGAACTTGGATTAACTAGAAATGCTAATGAGGCCAAGGCACGCTGGACTAGCCGGACTAGTTGGTTACGAAAATGCAAGCAGCAAGCCAAGTGATTCACAAACTTTATCGGTGACAGAACACACCCAAGTACAAATGGCAAATGCGATTGCAAAGTTTGTTTAAAATCACCATTTCGGTATCTTTTTCTACTACAATTTTGGGCCAGGGGCATTATTTATAGATTTCAGGACGCCCCGGGGGGGCACACTGAAATGTTTTAACGACCTCTATATAAACATAAACAAGCGCGAGTAATAAACTCATTGAGTGCCTCGACTAGACTCAATATCTCCGTCTGTTCCTCTCACCTTGAATATGCAAAATAAAATTTAGTTATACTTCTAGTTTCTAGTTTCAATATCCCAATGGGGATTCTATTTGAATCTACATTTCATAATCGATCATTTAGACTCATTTAGATTATATTTTATGCACACTTTTTTTCTCGATAAAAATGCTTATATATCATTTGGAATTTTCAAGTAATCACCATTAAATTGCCATTTTCCATGTCATAAATAAATAATCAAGATTAAGCAGGGAAGCGAGTTGCTATTATAATACCCAAGGTCGATTGAGGTCGTTGTAAACTCGGAATAAATAGGGAGAAGTACTTTAAAAAAGAGTACTTTTTGGGCAATTTTAAGAGTTGTTAATGTCAAAGATTTAACCCTTGTTAAATAAAGTTTTCTAGATTGTCTCTATCTATTTTCTCCACAAACCTTGATGCAAACTATTCCTTGCCTGATACTTTGACCTTTTCCGCATCAATTTCCCTCTTCTTTGTTATTCTCGAACCCGTCTTTGGTGACAAATTCTTGTATTCATGTAATATTTACCGCCGCCACCTCGAGAGCTTTGGTTCCATAATTGCAAGGATTTAGATTCAGATTCAAATTCTGATTCTGATTCTGATTCGACTGGCAATCCTTATCGGCAGCAAGCATTTACTCGTACCTTCGCCCAAATAGCAAAGGTGAGTCAAAAGCTCCTGGCATTGACATTGGCTTTGGCTTTGCCCCGGTGAACTTTGCCTTCACAATGGACAAATGGCGATGACTGTGACGATGCCATGTCGTTGTGAATGTAAATGTGAATGACGAGCCATGAGTTTGCATTTATTTGCACACCATTTGGCCGTATGGCCAATGAGCCATGATTTGGAACCATTGGTTTGGGAGAGAGAGGGGGGGCTAAAGGTGAAAAAGAAGACCACCCCCCGCCCCCTGGCAACTTGAAAACCCATTAGACCAACTGCAGGTATGGTCATTATCACACGACACTGATAAAAATAATAGATATACTCTGTAAATTTCTATTAAATCTTAAAAGAGCTTTAAGAACCTGAGCTTTAAGATTTGAATTACAAAATATTTAAATAATAGGTGATACAGTAAGTTAAATACAGTAATCTCGGCAATTTATTAAAAGGGAAACAAGTGGTTTTCAAGGGAAAATAGATTAATAACATAACATAAAATATAATTATATTAAAAAAAAATATACCAATAAATGAATATGAATGAATATACATCGAGAGAAAAAATGTATTTCTATTTTTTTTTCCGATTATATTTGTTTAATTATGTGAAATAGAATATCGAATTATCGAATTTTTTAATATCGATGCATATATATAGCTTTAAAATATCGAATTTATTATCGAGCCCTGAAAATATTGATTTTGATACCGCAACCTAGTATTATACATATGTATATATATATATTATTAGGCAGATTAGATAGATATTATAACCTTAGAATATAAATGTATGTATCGCAACCTTAAATATCGATTTATATAACAGCCTTACAATATTGATAAATAATGCCGGAAATCCAAATACCTATAATATTTATTATGGAAAATATAGGCCTTTTTTCGCAATGATAATGGTATTCTAAAAAATAAATAGTATTTATAAATTTCAAACTAACTCAATACAGAATCATCCCATCTATATACTACGTGGCACTTTACAATCGCCCAGAGTTTCAGGGCAGTGCAAAGGGGTAAAGACACGCAGCTGTCGAAGAAGCCGTAATGGGGCAAGGGCAGAGTAATTGATGGCAATTACTCTTTTGTTTCTGTCTGTGTGGTATATGCATACATATCGGAGCGTATTCAATTATTTAGTTATTGCCATTATAAATGACGATGATAATTCCTGTCACGGTTATTCGCTGAATAATGATCCGTGGCTCCGCTTCATTTTTATTTTGGTGATTAGCCCTGGGCTCGTTCCCTTTTCTCTTCCAATAAATCACACCTGGATCGTAGTTCTTTTACTTTTTTTCTTTTTGGAAGCGGCAGTCCGATTAGATAATTCCCCGCTGCAGACACTAATATTAATGTTGGGTGAGAAATGTTAGAACACAGGTGACATGCACTCGCCCCCACTTGAGATATACATCGCCCGGGGGTACGGGGAATCCGTGGTAAGCACAGCCTTGACGGGTGCAATTAACAACTGGATTTATGATAAGCCATTAAAACAATTTATGTTATCAACTGGTTGGGCACAGTCCATCGAACCGCGATAGTGCGGCAATTATGACTCAGCCATAGTTGAGTGAGGTGTACAATCAACTTAAAACAACATAATTAAAGCTCCATCTTAAATTACACATAAAACGCATATCAGTTTATGTAATTTCTGTGGAAACTTATAGATACATATATGTTTCACAAATAAACCTGAAGGACTTAATTAAAACCTGCTAAATTGCATGGCATTATTGAAATCGTTAAGGATTTAACCAGCATACCTGCAACCTCAGTTGCAAATTACAAAATCCAATAGAAACCACAATTTGATAGAATTCTCGGAAATATAAACATTTCAGCTGGTTGCCATTCCTGATTCCTGCGGTGTCGAAATTAATTCCAGCCGTCGTTTATTGAAGGCTTTAATTATTTATTCGTTATCAGTAAACCTCCAGAAATTAGCCTATTTTTTATAAGCTTTTATTGCATTTGCCAAGCTCGAATGCAATTTTGTAAGTTTTGACACTTTGCCTGTCTGTCCATGACAGCATTGATAAACCAATAATTTTGAGAGAATGGTTTTAAAGGTCATCCAGAAGACCGCATGCTGCGAAACCAATTTTGGGGATAACAATGAGCTGCCAACATTGTGGCCTCACAACTATCCGGAGATGCTGTAAATCAGGCATATGGATTTTCTAAGGATTTTCATTAGGATAGCCGCAAAAGAATTCATGGAATGGACTTTTTAAATAACTGACAAGAGAGCTCAGAGTTTCAGGGGTGTTGCCTAGGTAACCTGTTTGAGAAGAGCATAGAAGGGTCCTTTTTTTCGCGTTCGAATATGTTTTGTTTTGCATAACATCCAAACAAAACAACTTTTTTCAAGGGGAAACAAACCAAGTTATCTTAACAAAAATGAATCAATACAAAAAATTACATTGAATAACAAATGCTTACAATGTTCTATAGAAAAACATCTCAGCCATACAAGGAAATTTAAAACATGAAAATGATTCCAAGAATATGCACTAAACAATCGAAGCACATAAACAATAGTTAATTCGGTGAGCCAAAAGCTTAGCAGAAACCTAAAGACCACGAAGTAGCCATTGGCCATTAGGAAACTTGTTTGGGAAGAGCATAGAATGGCGCCTAACGTGGCATCTGGCACGTTTCGATCGATTGCAAATGTAACCTGATGTTCTGTGTACCCCAGATTGTGGACTGTTTGCTTTTGGT